GATGCAGCATGGTACCTGGTGTTACTGATGTCAGTAAGGTACCTGGTGTTACTGATCTCAATAAGGTACCTGGTGTTACTGATGTCAGTAAGGTACCTGGTGTTACTGATGTCAGTAAGGTACCTGGTGTTACTGATCTCAATAAGGTACCTGGTGTTACTGATGCTGTAAGGTACCTGGTGTTACTGATGCAGCAAGGTACCTGGTGTTACTGATGCTGTAAGGTACCTGATGTTACTGATGCTATAAGGTACCTGGTGTTACTGATGCAGCAAGGTACCTAGTGTTACTGACGCAGCAAGGTACCTTGTGTTACTGATGCTGTAAGGTACCTGGTGTTACTGATGCTGTAAGGTACCTGGTGTTACTGATGCAGCAAGGTACCTGGTGTTACTGATGCTATAAGGTATCTGGTGTTACTGATGTCAGTAAGGTACCTGGTGTTACTGATGCTGTAAGGTACCTGGTGTTACTGATGCTGTAAGATACCTGTTGTTACTGATGCTGTAAGGTACCTGGTGTTACTGATGCAGCAAGGTACCTGGTGTTACTGATGCAGTAAGATACCTGATGTTACTGATGCTGTAAGGTACCTGGTGTTACTGATGCAGCAACGTACCTGGTGTTACTGATGTCAGTAAGGTACCTGGTGTTACTGATGTCAGTAAGGTACCTGGTTTTACTGCTGCTGTAAGGTACCTGGTGTTACTGATGCAGCAAGGTACCTGGTGTTACTGATGCTATAAGGTACCTGGTGTTACTGATGCTATAAGGTACCTGGTGTTACTGATTCTATGAGGTACCCGGTGTTAATGATGCAGCAAGGTACCTGGTGTTACTTATCTCAATAAGGTACCTGGTGTTACTGATGTCAGTAAGGTACCTGGTGTTACTGATGTCAGTAAGGTACCTGGTGTTACTGATGCAGCAAGGCATCTGGTGTTACTGATGTCAGTAAGGTACCTGGTGTTACTGATGTCAGTAAGGTACCTGGTGTTACTGATGTCAGTAAGATACCTGGTGTTACTGATGTCAGTAAGGTACCTGGTGTTACTGATGCAAGGCACCTGGTGTTACTGATGTCAGTAAGGTACCTGGTGTTACTGATGTCAGTAAGGTACCTGGTGTTACTGATGCAGCAAGGTACCTGGTGTTACTGATGCTGTAAGGTACCTGATGTTACTGATGCTGTAAGGTACCTGGTGTTACTGATGTCAGTAAGGTACCTGGTTTTACTGCTGCTGTAAGGTACCTGGTGTTACTGATGCAGCAAGGTACCTGGTGTTACTGATGTCAGCAAGGTACCTGGTGTTACTGATGCAGCAAGGTACCTGGTGTTACTGATGCTATAAGGTACCTGGTGTTACTGATGTCAGTAAGGTACCTGGTGTTACTGATGTCAGTAAGGTACCTGGTGTTACTGATGTCAGTAAGGTACCTGGTGTTACTGATGTCAGTAAGGTACCTGGTGTTACTGATGCAGCAAGGCATCTGGTGTTACTGCTGTCAGTAAGGTACCTGGTGTTACTGATGTCAGTAAGGTACCTGGTGTTACTGATGTCAGTAAGGTACCTGGTGTTACTGATGTCAGTAAGGTACCTGGTGTTACTGATGCAAGGCACCTGGTGTTACTGATGTCAGTAAGGTACCTGGTGTTACTGATGTCAGTAAGGTACCTGGTGTTACTGATGCAGCAAGGTACCTGGTGTTACTGATGCTGTAAGGTACCTGATGTTACTGATGCTGTAAGGTACCTGGTGTTACTGATGCAGCAAGGTACCTGGTGTTACTGATGCTATAAGATACTTGGTGTTACTGATGCAGTAAGGTACCTGGTGTTACTGATGTCAGTAAGGTACCTGGTGTTACTGATGCTGTAAGGTACCTGGTGTTACTGATGCTGTAAGATACCTGATGTTACTGATGCTGTAAGGTACCTGGTGTTACTGATGCAGCAAGGTACCTGTGTTACTGATGCAGCAAGGTACCTGGTGTTACTGATGCAGCAAGGTACCTGGTGTTACTGATGCAGTAAGGTACCTGTGTTACTGATGCAGCAAGGTACCTGGTGTTACTGATGCAGCAAGGTACCTGGTGTTACTGATGCAGTAAGGTACCTGTGTTACTGATGCAGCAAGGTACCTGGTGTTACTGATGCAGCAAGGTACCTGGTGTTACTGATGCTGTAAGGTACCTGGTGTTACTGATGCAGCAAGGTACCTGGTGTTACTGATGCAGTAAGGTACCTGTGTTACTGATGCAGCAAGGTACCTGGTGTTACTGATGCAGCAAGGTACCTGGTGTTACTGATGCTGTAGGGTACTTGGTGTTACTGATGCAGTAAGGTACCCAGTGTTACTGATGCTGTAGTGTACCTGGTGTTACTGATGCTGTAGGGTACCTGGTGTTACTGATGCTGTAGGGTACCTGGTGTTACTGATGCAGTAGTGTACCTGGTGTTACTGATGCTGTAGGGTACCTGGTGTTACTGATGTGGTTGGGTACCTGGTGTTACTGACACAGGGGTGAGTGGGGGAGAGTGATTGAGAGAGAGAAGGGAGAGGAGTGAGTGAGTGAGGGTGGATGGGCATGAGTGAGTGATTGAGTGAAGATTTAAAGTCACATCGCCAATATTTCAGCCATATCGTGCTAAAACTAGTTATCAATAGTGAGTGAGTGAGTGAGTGAGTGAGCATGGGGTTATGTCGCTTTTAGCAATATTCCAGCAACAGCATGACGGGGATACCAGAAATGGGTTTCGCAAATTGTACCCATGAAGGTTATCGAACCCGGGCCTTTGGCATGACAAGCAAATGCTTTAACCACTAGGCTACCCCACCACCCGGAAGTGAGGGAGTAAGTGAGGGAGGATGGAAGGGAGGGGGGACATGGAGAGGGGGTGGTGGTGGAAGGGCATGAGGGAGTCAGTGAGGGCAGGTGGAAGGGAGGGGCGACATGTAGAGGGAGTGGTGGTGGAATGGCATGAGGGAGTCATTGAGGGAAGGTGGATGGCAAAGGATGGAGTGTGAGAGAAAAAAGGCAGGAAGAGTGAGTGAGTAAGTGAGTAAGTTTGTAGTGCTAGAATGACATTTGTTCACGTGAACTTGTAGAATGAAATATGATGATGTATTCATCAATGTTAGATAGGACTGTATTGTTTGCCCAAAACACCATACTGCCGCAATAACATCAAGTTTCCTATCTCAAACTCATAGCAAAAACCGTTAGTGACACACTCACAATAATATCACCAACATTATTACTTGTAAACTACTGAAACAAATTTTGAACACAATTAACATCGTCACACGGTCTTTAATTCATAAGACATGACAAAATACGACTTGAATCCATTGTTCCTACATATCCCAGCTCCAGTTACTAGCCAACTGATCTACATCCATTTTCTTCACCATCCGAGTCAAAGACCTTCCAGACTACAGACTGTTCCAGTCTACCACATGCATGAGAAATGAAGACACAGAACTAGTGCCTGTGTGTCTGAGAGTTATCACATCTAGTCAGGTACATGATTCCATGTGAACCAAACCTATGTTCAAGTTCCCATCACAGCCATATTGGTTTGAGGTTTGTGTCATGAATTTCTGAACGTATTGCTTCTCCATGAAACTTTCACCAAACATTTGTGGGTATGTATTTACTTCCTGTTTGATTTACTGCACCTCTTTCATTTAACAAAATGCTGTTGATCACTGGATTGTCTAGTTCAGTCCCGATTATTTACAGACCGCCGCCATATATAAATGCAATATTGCTGAGTGCAGCATAAAACTAACGCCTAAAAAAAAATATGTTTGGTTCCAATTACCCTTGACCCTTACCGACCCTTGAATTCTGGTGCTGACCCTATTTTTTTAAGCAGTATAAACAAAATAAGCGTTGAGATACCATTGTTTTTTCCCGGCACATTCTGATAGAGAAAGTTGACATGATGGCAGCAAGCTTGATTAAATAAACAATTAGGCATTAATAACTGTGTTATTAGTTTGTACTTTACTTCTAAAAAAAAATGTAGAAAAAAAAAAATCCTACCTACCTACCTATCTACCAGAAATTTTAAAGAGCTGTAAGCAGAACCACAACATTTTTTTGTTTGGCCTAAACTCACTCCCTCCCTCACTCACTCATTTAACAAAACATATTGGGCTGTCAATGACTCAACAAAACACTGTCCTGTCTGAGGTTCAACATATACTACCCATCAAAAGTTTAGACACACTAGTGTAAATGTAGCCACTTACTTCAGTCAACTGTTCCAAACTAGAATTTGAAAAATAGTCCATACTGTTTAAAGGTACTGTTACATGAACTGATGTTTTGTAAAACAAATTCGTAACGTTGAATAGATTATTGTCATGAGTTCAATAAATGATGAAACTCAGTGAAAATTGGTGAATTCTTAACAAAACTTTATACCAAAACGCAGCTGTTCACATGCACGATATTTGCACCTGCTTTTCAGGAATTAGATGATTGATCCTCGTGCAATTTATCTGTATAAGGTTTGCAGTTGGTTCCCCCCAAGCTAGTGGAGAAATTCATCTTCTATGTAACCATATATATATACATAACATATAGTGAGTGCTTTAAGTGAGTCTAAACTTTTGATGTGTAGTATACATCAGCAACTTATGTGGCACCACTTGTTGTACAGGCTTATATTGGATATTTTACAGCTGCTTCGTACACTGTCCCCAGCCCTTCGGGGTAATCAGCAGAAGATTCTGAAGAGTGAGTGAGTATGGTTTTACGCCTCTTTTAGCAACATTTCAGCAATATCAGGGGGGGCATCAGAAATTGACTTTGCAATTTGAATTCACAGGGAGAATCGATCCAAGGTCTTCAACATGACGAGTGAAACCTTTAACCACAACGCTACTCAACCGCCATGGATTGTGAAGATGAAAGCTGGCTAGCTCAGCACAGCACTCGGGTATGTTTACTGTCCCCCCTCCTCCCGTTATGCCTCAATCACTCACCATGGTCAACATCTTGTCCTCGTCCTCCTGCACCAGGTCAACAGGTCCGTCCTCCAACTTGGGGATGAAGGTCACCCGCTGCATGGGTGTGATATCATGCGTCCCGGTCATGCTGGGCAACAACTTGCTGGATTTCTTCCACCTGGGGACATCCTTCACACCGACCTTCCCGGACGGAGCTCTCTCCGCAGTAAATGACACAGCCTTAACTATATCCTTCTCTTCATTCACCGGACTCAGAACTGTCTTGTTGAACGAGTCATTTATCATAGCTCCACAATGAACGTCAAAGGTGAAAGAGTTACCTCCCTTTGACTTGTTGTCTGGTGTGTGCAGGCTGGCAGATCGAGGTGAGTTTCTTGGAGAATTTGTGTAAGCAGCTTCGTGGATAGCTTTAAGCTGGGCATTGTAGAGGAGGGCTTTGAAGTCTGCCCCAGTGAAATACTCAGCTTGTTTGCAAATAGTCGTAAAGTTCACATCCTCAGCCAGAGTCATTTTCCTTGTAAGGCTTTTCAGAATCTCAGCTCGCTCAATCTGAAAATGTATTTTTGAACAGGAATGAGTACAAAAAATTAAAGTAATATTGCAATACATATGTTGGACAGCAATGCCTATAGAGAATCTCAACCTTATGTTTTTTACAAAGAAAGTAACATGAGACAATAAAAACTTAACACTTCTAGGTGAATTATGATCAAAGAAACAATGCTACAACTGTTTTCTGTTTAAAGACAACGGTTTCAGTTTGGCAAACAGATGATTGATTTGATTACGTGGTCTGGTAACATCATACTTACGATGACCACAATTTGAAACTTATATAATCTAATATCTACTTATTGCTCTATTTCACCACAATATGAGTTGTTGTAGTGTATACAGTCAATGGGTTAGTGGTGTTGCAATCAAATGAGACAGGACTGATTTTCCTCTTATATGAAGTGAGGGATGAATGCACAGTGTTGTGAACTCCCCAAAATTTCGGCCAGACAACTGGTCTGGCAACTCTCAAAAGTTACCAGACCGGCTGGAAAGTTACCAGTCCAGAATTTTCTGGATTAAGATAAAATATAGAGGAGGTAAATAGGAGGAGGGAACTGTTTAATGTCAGGTTATTGTTACAATAACACACGTTTTGAAATGTTTTTCAGTCAAGGCTTTAGTCATTATATATACTAAATTACACTGACTTAACAGCCACACCATCGGGCGTGCAACTTTTTAAAACTGACCGTCCGGTCGAAAAACAGACCGTCCCGGACGGTCGGGCAGGCGGGAGTTTGCAACGCTGGTATGCAGTGTATGAAATAAGCCAAAAACCCAGCCAGACATCAGGACTGGTGACTTAAAAATGTTACCAGGCCAAAATGGATTTAACCAGACCAGACACCAAGAAAGATATGGTGAATTTACTCAATTTACCTAATTTTTTTTACCAGACCATCGGACTGGCTAGCTGTAAATCTAGACCGTCCATCAGAAATCTAGCCCGGCCTTATTTCATACACTGATGTATGACATGTAAATATGTGGGTATGAAGTAATGGGCCCCAGAAACAAAATGAGTCCATCCTCACAGGTCAGTCAATAGTTAGATTTCTTGTCCAAGACAACAGACACCCCTCAATGACCCACATACCTCATTGGGCAGTCCACAGTTGAGACACTTGTCCAGTCTGCCTGGTCGAAGCAGGGCAGGGTCCAGGAGGTCAGGCCGACTTGTGGCGGCCAGCACATACACACCTGGACAACAAAGGACACTGGCATGGTTAAATGGTATGGTTAACTGGCATGGTTAACTGGCATGGTTAACTGGTATGGTTAAATGGTATGGTTAAATGGTATGGTTAAATAGCATGGTTAAATGGCATGGTTAAATGGCATGGTTAAATGGCATGGTTAAATGGCATGGTTAAATGGCATGGTTAAATGGCATGGTTAAATGGGATGGTTAAATGGCATGGTTAAATGGCATGGTTAAATGGCATGGTTAAATGGCATGGTTAAATGGGATGGTTAAATGGCATGGTTAAATGGCATGGTGAAAATGGCATGGTGAAGTCACAACAGCGCACCAACAACAACACAGCTAAGATTTAGTGAGGTTTAAGTTCACATTCAATATTATTGTAATCAGATAGTGATGTGAATACCCGACACTTTTTGTGGATAACAACTTTTTTGTTGGGGGCGATGGGGTAGCCTAGTGGTTAAAGCATTTGCTCGCCACACCAAAGACCCAGGTTTGATTCCCCCCATTTCTGGTGTCCCCGCCGTGATATTGCTGGAATATTGCTAAATGCGGCGTAAAACCATACTCACTCACTTTGTTGTTATCAATGAAAGGTGTCATGTATTCATGTTCGTCCAACTTATAAATGCCTTTTAAATATTCATGTGTATGCAAGCATTTGTGTGACTGCATGTACCAGCTGTTTAGCATGGATACCCTACACACAATGGGCAATACCCCATACACAAGTTCACATTGACAAAATACTAGAGCTAAAAAATATATGTGTATCTCTATACCTTATATGACTATGAAAGAAATAGTATAATTTAGTTCAAAATTATTCACATCAATGATATTTTAAAGAAAATAGACGCTGTTCATTCTACAGACAGATAGAGGGAAATATTTTACCACATTCATACAATGATGCTGCAACTTTGAATTTACTTTTATCATTAACAATCACATGCAGGCTTGTATACCAAGTGGATGTTAAGACTGAGATTTGTAATCTTCCTTCAAAGTGTTATATTTTAAACATGCTAAACTGGAAACTAAACAGCCATTGCTTCAACTGTTGGGGCAAAGGCTATGAACCTACAGCCCTTTAAAGAGGGAACTTTTACTGTCTATGGACACTGATGGTGAAATATTACATAAGCTCACGTCACGGTGGCGTGGTGGGCGAACTGGCTAAAGCTTGAGGTGACGGGATCGAGCCCACCTGTGACCAGGTGTAAAAACCTTGGCGTCAACTTTGTGTGCAGACTCTGTCAGTGTTGTCACAACCCCTAGTGTACAGTTCACATCCCTGTGCACTTAAAAGAACCCACGAATCCGTTGGTATATGACCAGATGGTGGCCACATGAATACGTGCAAACACCTAGTTGCGGGTACAGCAAACGTGCAGTAAACTTGGACAAAGTACTGTGATTATGTGTCCCAGTCCACCCAGCTGTGAATGGGTACCTCGTTAGGATGGGAATGCCAAACTAACTCGGTGCGCCTTGTGGCTGCAAGAGTTGTATGCTCCCCAGTGAGTTGAGACTGATAATACGATGCGAGGATGGGAAAGCCAAACTAACTTGGTCCACCTAGTGGTTGCAAGAGTTGTATGCTCCCCAGTGAGTTGAGATTGATAATACGATGTGCCGTTGAGACTGACATCCAGTGATCGAGGGAAAAACAAAGCGCCTCTGAGCAGCTGAGCTGGATATCGGAGCTATACAAACGTTAGCATAATAATAATAATAATAACTTTCAGTCAGGAAAACTACAGGCAGTACATTTCTACCCTGAAACTTTTAAAACAGTGGCAGCTGTACCTTCCAAGCCTTCAACTCCGTCCAGTTGTGTCAGCAGCTGGTTGACGACACGGTCCGTCACCCCGGGTACTGTCATGTCCTCGCCTGAAACAGGACACCATTTATTTGCGTCCACACAAAGTCATGATAATCAGATATTACAATGATATGAAACCTTCAGCATGTCTACCTGAGATCGCTTCCAAGTATCAGTTCATGTTAGCTTTGTGATTTTTTTCTGCAAATCTAAATAAATGGGTGAGTTCCTTATGATGTCACGTTTCTGAAACAATTCCGCTTCTTTTCCATCTCATTTTACAATATATCTATCTCTTCAAGTCCCATGAAGGTCCCGGTTAGAGTGAACCTTCAGTAACCCATGGCGACAAACAGGATCGGGCAGGCAGGCTCGCTGGCTTGGTTGACACATGTCATCTGTTCCCAATTCACTCACTCCTCACTCTGCAGAAAAATGCAGATTGATGCTCATGCTGTTGATCACTGGATTGTCTGGTCCAGACTCTACTGAATGAGTTTGAGATTCTTGACAAGTATATGGAAGTTGGTATTAAGTAAAGTCGATTATTTACAGACCGCCATTTTCCTTGGCCTTTAGTCAGGGCTTTTCCTTGGCCTTTAGTCAGGGCTTTTCCTTGGACCTTCGTCAGGGCTTTTCCTTGGACCTTCGTCGGGTGAATGTATTCACCAAATAAAGGGCCAAGGAAAAGTCCTGAAACGTTGTGTATACAATAAATAAGAAGTTGACATCCATAATATTTTGTCCTATACTTCAATGAGTTTGGATTGGACACCACTTCTTTCTGTGTATAGTTGTGTATGAAGTATTACATTCATTATGCAATTAAAACACTCAAATACTGTGACCATTATTAAGGAAAGTGCCGAGAAAAGCCAAGCCATGCCATCAGAGTGCACTGACACCCAATCTATCACAGCAAGTGTTGTAACAACACATGGTCACCACAAGGGTCCTTTTCTTCCCTGTATTCCCCTTTCCCTCCCAGGGGGTATATTATGAATACAAAACAACAAAGGGAATCTTACCTTGGTGCAATGGAGTCAAATTCATCAAAAAATAAAATACAAGGCTTGGCACTCTGAGCTCTGAAACAACAAATACACAATGACAATTAACGTGTTCACCTCAGAATACATTTCAGATCCTGAAACCAAGGCCTCATTTATGGTGGGATTACGAGTATAAATTTCACCAATTTTAGAGTTGTCAAACTGTTGTCGAGAAATAGGATCGGTCTCTATTCTCACCAACTTTTCCATCAAACTTTCGGTGTTGTCAAACTCGAGTTTGACGTGTGAAGTGTTGTCAAACTCATGTTGTTCAGAGACAACCAATCGCATTCAATGAAATTGTCACGTGGCCGCACCGATAGAAACATGTCACTCAAATGACACAAAAGTTTGACAATATGTGTTTGATGTGTAAAAACGTGAGTTTGACAACTTTTAATTTCAGCAACACATGTTGTCAAACTTTAGTTTGCCGTGTGAAGGCCGCTTTAAAGTCAAACATGGGAGCATTCTGTATTCATAGCTTTTGGCCGTGGGAGCAGTGCCAGGTTACGGTTGTCACAGGGGTACACAAAGTCCTTAGTCTAGAACACATTCAAGACACTGCACACACATATAACAATACACCAGAACAGGAATGAATGGCTAGGGGGGGGGATGATGGTTTTTATGGAGAAGCATGAACAATGTGAATGACGTCTCTCCCCCCCCCTAAAATTTATGTACAAAATAAGTGACCCCCCTGCATGTCATGCACAAAACCAATGACCCCCCCTCCCCATGATTTCTAAGCATATTTTTATGCACAAAATTGCTGACCCCCTAGTACGTGTGTACAAATTTGAGATGACCCCCTAGCTCCCCAGAACAAAATGGTGACACCCCACCCCCTACCCCCCAAAAAATCTTCATCAGCCCCCTAGCCATAAATTATGAATGGTCCCTTAGGACTTGGTTCCTACCTTGTGAAGAGATCCCGCACTGCCTGTTCACTGGCACCAATATATTTGCTGAGTAACTCCGGCCCCTGCAAAAACACCAAACTAGTGTATAGACTCGCCATGAGAGAGATAGTGAGTGAGTGAGTGAGTAAGGTTTCAAGCCACATTAAAGTAAACCTGTATCTCTGTCTCTCTGTGCGTTCATCTCACCTTGATGCTGATGAAGTTGAGGCCACACTCCTTCGCAACAACCCCCGCCAACAGCGTCTTCCCCGTCCCCGGAGCCCCATACAGCAACAGCCCCGACCGCAGACGCAGTGGACAATTCAGGAAGAGCTGAGGGTACTGCAGCATAATGATTTCAGCTCTTAACAAGCTAGTGTATGTCAATTTAAACATGGATATGTTTCAAACACCCTCCAACTCTCCTTCACACCTCATCTGAGGAACTGATGCTGTCCCGGTGTAGTATCGGCAGTATCGGCAAAGGCCTTGTCACGTGACCAAGCCATCCCCACTCTTCAACCCAACAGCGGTTTATTTAACTAGGGTTGACTATTGAGGAGGAAACAACTATTGCGATAGCGACAGTCTATTGCGACCAACTATTGCAATAGTGTTTTTCTCCATGAATTGTCTCATTTGAAGCCATTTCCCAAATGAATGTATAGATTATATGAAACAAGTTGAAGCAGTTTCAGTCTCTTTTAATAGCTGACAAGAAACCTGAAACCCAGATGAAGTAAACAGTTTACACAAAAACACAATGAAGCTGCAAGTCTGCATCCAAAGATCCTGTATTTTGCGTTGGGCACTTATCTCGATAGTCACACATACTATCGATGCATCAATTGTTTTTTTCTTTGAGTGGCATTTTAGAAGTTGGGAAGTACAATATAGAACAAACTTTATGGATAAAAACCATTTTTCATTCGTGAGTTCGACATTTCGATACAGATTCTTGTACCGTTGTCAAGCAGGAATGGAACATGAAGAAGGGGGGTATATATACTGAATGTAACAATGTAACAAAGAAAATTGTACATCTATTATTTGTACATCTTTGGCTTCCACGCCTGTCCTTTGTCTACTCTTTGGCTTCCACGCCTGTCCTTTCTCCACTCTCTGGCTTCCACGCCTGTCCTTTGTCCACTCTCTGGCTTCATCAGCTTACTGTCTAGCCAATTATGTTAATTATGTTGTTTTCTTTGTTACATTGTTACATTCAGTATATATACCTCCCCTTCTTCATGTTCCATTAATGACTGACTGACTGAGTTTGGTTTTACGCCGCTTTTAGCAATATTCCAGCTACATCACGGCAGGGGAATACCAGAAATGGGCTTCACACATTGTACCAAGTTCCATTAATGCTTGACAACGGTACAAGAATCTGTATCGAAACGTCGCACTCACCAATAAAAGAAGTTATTATCCATAAAGTTTGTTCTATATTACAATTGTTTTTTGTTTCTACAATTGATTAATTGCTATCTGAAACTCAACAATTGCAATTCCTCGATAGTTGGATGCATCATGATAATGATAGTCATGCACACGACCTTTTTGTTGTTCATGAACAACATTGTACGCATTAATAATGATGAGTATGAGTTGCTACACATGTTCATGCAATATTCTAGACAATATTGAGGATCAGTTTTTAGGGTAACGTACAAGATTAGAATGAAACTGTAGTGTGCCATGACCAGACATGATTAGGTACTGATGATATTCATCTGATTGATTACTGATTACTGTATCATCAACCACATCACATCGTCCTTGGGATTAATATCTATACTGGACAGAAATTGTTAGGGATATATGTAAATTTTGAAATTATGAAAAATGATCTATTTATTCATTGACACACTGATAAAATATCAATCATAAAAATACCTAACTTATTTTGTCCAGTATATTATCTAAATACCTGGCAAAATTGGGAAAATTATTGTGATATTGTCCAAAACTGCCCAACTGGATTGTTTTCATTGTTCATACTTTTTGTGAAGTTGAAGAAACTGCCAAAAAATTAGATCAATGTTTCACTTTTCACTTTCATCTCTTGTAGATTTGGGGCTAAATATTGAGTGAGTGAGTGAGTTTAGTTTTACGCTGCTTTTAGCAATATTCCAGCAATATAATGGCGGGTGACACCAGAAATGGGCTTTACACATTGCACCCATTTGGGGAATTGAGTGAGGGAGTGAGTGAGTTTAGTTCTATGCCTTTTTAAGAAATATTCCAGCAAATATCACAGACTGGGACACCAGAAATGGGCTTCACACATTGTGACCATGTGGGGTGTGGGGAATTGAACCTGGGTCATCAGCGTGATGAGCAATCACCTTAATCACTAAGCTAACCCATCACCCCGGGGTCTAAACACTGGTTGAGCAGATCTAAACATATCCCTGTACATATATCTAAATATATCCCAGCTCACCTTGGACGGCCACTGCAGCGTCTCCATCAGCATCTTCTTCACCTCCGTCAGTCCACCGACGTCCTCCCAGCCGAGTTCCCCAGCCACATGGAGCTGGACATTCCTGATGGATGCTGGACGGAACCCTTCCAGTGCGAGGTCAAACTCCACCTGCGTCAGACACATCTCCTCATTTTTGTTGACCGAGGCTGAAACAGAGAAGACACAGATTACACTTTTATTTATCCCCTAAACTAAAAACACAATCTCAGTTAATCCAGGTTGGTATCATTTTCTTGTCTTCATATAGTTGTTCTGTAAACATTTAGATAATACCACCATTTATTACCCTCAGGATTTATTTGTTGAAATTCTGATTGGTTAATACCCAAAGCATACGAAACCATGTAGGCGAATTGGCCAGGATGTACGAACCGTACACCCAGTCAAATCTGTCATGTGACACACTACAGGGGTTGTACAAATGACCTTGACCTCAGATGGAATGTGGCTGCCAAACTGCTGATCGCTTCGAAATATTAGAGTTGGCGTATACAATTATGAGTATAAACAGAGTCCTAAAATTGTTGCCATAATTTCTTACTTGTTTGTGCCAATAGAAATATTGAAATATAAATTGTTTCTGTTCCACTTGTCATTTAACAAAACCTTAAATTCGATCATTTTTATCATAAACTGAGCCATCCCGAGTGATCTCCCTTTATGAGTGTTCAGGAAAAATAATGGCGAAACGTTCTGCCGAAGACTGAATGCTGGTATTTATAGATAATAGATATGCTAAATAAAGAGTAACAATAAGGGTAATGAATTCGTCACACATTCTTTTGACATCATACGGTGTTTGGCTGCGCCTCAGGACATACGGAATTGACAAGAGTCTTCCAATCATGTACACCTTTTATAAACACCGTGTAACTAATAGTATTTGGAAAAATACAGTAAAAATTAAAAAAGCACTGTGAGTGAGTGGTTGAGTGAGTGGTTGAATGTGTGGTTGAGTGAGTGGTTGAATGTGTGGTTGAATGAGTGGTTGAGTGAGTGTTCGAGTGAGTAGTTGAATGAGTGGTTGAGTGAGTGGTTGAGTGAGTGGTTAAGTTAGTGGTTGAGTGAGTGTTTGAGTGAGTGGTTGAATGAGTGGTTGAGTGAGTGGTTGAGTGAGTGGTTGAGTGAGTGGTTGAGTGAGTGGTTGAATGAGTGGTTGAGTGAGTGGTTGAGTGAGTGGTTGAATGAGTGGTTGAATGAGTGGTTGAGTGAGTGTTCGAGTTAGTGGTTGAATGAGTGGTTGAGTTAGTGGTTGAGTGAGTGTTCGAGTTAGTGGTTGAATGAGTGGTTGAGTGAGTGGTTGAGTGAGTGTTCGAGTGAGTGGTTGAATGAGTGTTCGAGTGAGTGGTTGAATGAGTGGTTGAGTGAGTGTTCGAGTGAGTGTTCGAGTGAGTGGTTGAGTGAGTGGTTGAGTGAGTGTTCGAGTTAGTGGTTGAATGAGTGGTTGAGTGAGTGGTTGAGTGAGTGTTCGAGTGAGTGGTTGAGTGAGTGTTCGAGTGAGTGGTTGAATGAGTGGTTGAGTGAGTGTTCGAGTGAGTGTTCGAGTGAGTGGTTGAGTGAGTGGTTGAGTGAGTGTTCGAGTTAGTGGTTGAATGAGTGGTTGAGTGAGTGGTTGAATGAGTGGTTGAGTGAGTGTTTGAGTGAGTGGTTGAATGAGTGGTTGAGTGAGTGGTTGAGTGAGTGTTCGAGTGAGTGGTTGAGTGAGTGGTTGAGTTAGTGGTTGAATGAGTGGTTGAATGAATGGTTGAGTGAATATGGTTTTACGCCGCTTTTGGCAATATTCCAGCAATATGACGGTGGGGGACACCAGAAATGGGCTTCACACATTGTACCCATGTGGGAAATCGAACCCAGGCCTTCGGCGTGAAGAGCGAACGCTTTAACCACAAGGCTACCCAACTGCCTCTGAGTGAGTGAGTGAGTGGTTGCTTGAGAGAGTGAGTGAGTGAGTGAGTGAGTGAGTGAGTGAGTGAGTGAGTGAGTGAGTGAGTGAGTGAGTGAGTGAGTGAGTACGATGCAGATCAGCCAATAATTAAAAGAATCCAGCAATTCAAACACATGATCAGCAGTAAAGGCAAGCAACTCTGCACAGTGAAGTCATACCACTGGGCCCCAATGATGGACACTTGTTCAATGAGTGATTACACGTAACTTACCATCTCCAAGGAATTTGGCATGAATGGCCTTGTTCACAGCATGTTCAAGGTCACGAGCTACAAAACCCTCTGTCTTGTTGACGATGTCGTCCATGTTAATGGCGTTGAATGTTGCTGCCGAAACGCAAGTCTTGTTTCGAATGATGGAAGACAAGATATCTCTTCTCCCAACCTGCAGCAAAAACAAGTCACATCCAATCTAGTGATCATTGTGTCCGTCACAATTAGTCCACATATTTTTAAAATGAGATCTTACAGCCCACCAAAAACTAAGGGGAAACAATCCGGCCAAGCCACAATATCATGATACACAAGTCACAATACGATACATATTGTGGTACACACATTCATGTTAAAATGTGTAGCATTTTTTGGAAACTAAATACTTTAGACTGTCTGACTGAGTTTGGTTTTACGCCGCTTTTAGCAATATTCCAGCAACATCACGGCGGGGGACACCAGAAATGGGCTTCACACGTACCCATGTGGGGATTAGAACCCGGGTCTTCGGCGTGACGAGCCAACGCTTTAACCACTAGGCTACCCCACCGCCCCAAATACTTTAGAACAAGTAACATAGTTAGCTGTAGACACATGTTTGAAGTGACAATTTGTTGTTGTAAATTCAGAAAGGAAATGCTGATTACAATATATTTTGTGATATTTTGCAATTATGGATACACCACCACGTAATGCCCCCAACAAATTTAACTATTATGCAATTTCTTCTAGGCTCAGACGCCATATAGCTGGAATATTGCTGAGTGCGGTGTAAAACTAAAACTAAACTCTAGGCTCAGAGCTTTCAATCATCCTCAGTAAGATGTCTGGCCTTAATGAGAGGGTTGAGGGGTAGCCTAGTGGTTGAAGATGGAATTTGCTTGTTGCACATGATTTAAAGCTACTTGTTCAATATTAATTTGAAATGAATTTATTTCTGAATAGGCCAGAGGCCAAATTACAGGTTACAATTCAGATTGCAATTATACACATGCAACAGGCACACCTCCAATGGTACTGGGAAATGCAAACTAAATAAACAGTATTGTCTGGTGACAGTAGGCTAGCAACACACAAGGATATAAGGGTATGTGGTTAGACTGACTGACTGACTGAGTTTGGTTTTACGCCGCTTTTAGCAATATTCCAGCAATATCACGGCGGGGAACACCAGAAATGGGCTTAACACATTGTGCCCATGTGGGGAATCGAACCCGGGTCTTCGGCGTGACGAGCCAACCACTAGGCTACCCCACCGCCCCCTATGTGGTTAGAAACTTGGTTAGTTTGAAAATACTGTTTTACACTTACGTTTACCAACTATAGCCCTACAGACTTATATGTAATCGGATGTTGCAAATGCAATAATATTATAGGCACGTTTCTCACAAAATTGTTGCCTGGTGACAGTATATTGAAAACAGGAAATATCTAGTTTGTCTTAGCAAACATTTCATAATTAGAGAGTTTAGTTTGACGCCGCACTCAGCAATATTCCAGCTATATGGCGGCAGTCTGTAAATAAGTCTGGACCAGACAATCCAGGGATCAACAGCATGAGCATCGATCTGCGTAATTGGGAACCGATGACATGTGTCAACCAAGTCAGCGAGCCTGACCACCCGCTCCCGTTAGTTGCCTCTTACGACAAGCATGGGTTACTGAAGATCAATATTCTAACCCAGATCTTCACGGGTCTTATGTGCCATGAAATCTATGACGTTTTTGCTTGTGTATTTAGCTCTGCAATCACAATAGTTCACCTGTATCATGACGTCTCTAAATATATGTATCTGGACCAGGGGCGGATACAGCTTTTTGAGAATGGGGGCTGCACACTCTTGAGAAAGTGGGGATGCACACTTCATTTTCGCGAGAGTTCCAATGGTCATTTAATAAACTTTCAGGACAAACTTTCTGGATCCACCTATGTGGACCAGACAATCCAGTGACTGACATCATCAGCATCTATCTTCAGCGACATGCATCAGTCAAGCCTGAGAGCCTGACCACCCAATCCTGTTAGTTATTCCTTACGACAAGCATGGGTTTTTGAAAACCAATTCAAAGCAGGCTTTTCACGCATATTTTCACAAAGGCACACACTGAAATTATCTGTTTGGTGCCATATATTTCCTTTATTGATCTTTCAAACATCGTGTTCCTACAAGAGAATTCCACAGACTCCTACCTTGTCAGGCGGACTGATGGTGACCGTTTCCTGGATGAAGTGAGCACCTCTGGACGACATCAGGCTTGGATGTAACGAGGCAGTTGATTGGCTGGAGGCCATTACTGCTATGTGGCTGCTGTTGTTGATTTCAAACTTCACCAAACTCTGAATCACTGGAACAGTTTGTAATATCATCCTTGTGTCAGTTTATGGCATCATCAGTTCCGATCTGTGGTCACCAGCCACCACAGGAACAGCTGAGTACAATTCTGTGGGGCGTGGTGGGCGAGCTGGCTAAGGTGCCAGCCTAGTGATCCAGCGAGCATGAGGTGCCGGGATCAAGCCCACCTGTGACCGGGTGTAAAAACCTTGGAGTCAACTTTGTGTGCAGACTCTTTCAGTGTTGTCACAACCCCTAGTGTACAGTACACAACCCTGTGCACTTAAAAGAACCGTTGGTATTTGACCAGATGGTGGCCACATGAATATGTGCAAACACCCAGTTGCGGGTACAGCAATGTGAAGTAAACTTGGACAAAGTACTGTGTCCCAGTCACCCAGCTGTGAATGGGTACCTCGTAAGGATGGGAAAGCCGCAATAACTCGGTGTGCCTTGTGGCAGCAAGAGTTGTATGATCCCCAGGGAGCTGAGATTGATAATAAGATGTGCCGTTCAGATTGACATCCAATGATCGAGGGGAAAATACCAGCGCCTTGAGCATGCACTAGTGCGTGGATATGTGCTCTATATAAATATCCTATAATAATAATAAAAAGTGATCATAATTCTGGTTAGACTGGATATTAAAAATCATATTACAGGGCTATGTTCCACAAGCATTCTTAGAGCTAAGATGATCGTAAGGCTATGCTAAAGTCTGAGAGTTACAGTCACCCTAACAAACAGCAATCGTATAGCTACAATCATCGTAAGGCTATTCTTAAGAATGGAAGTTACATTGGCCATAGCACAAAGCACTCTTAGAGCTACGATGATCATAAGGCTATACCAAGTATGGGAGTTACAGCTACCCTTTCACAAAGTCCTCTTTGAGCTACGATGATCATAAGGCTATACTAAGTATTACAGCTACCCTTTCACAAAGCACTCTTAGAGCTACGATGATCATAAGGCTATACTAAGTATTACAGCTACCCTTTCACAAAGCACTCTTAGAGCTACGATGATCATAAGGCTATACTAAGTATTACAGCTACCCTTTCACAAAGCACTCTTAGAGCTACGATGATCATAAGGCTATACTAAGTATTACAGCTACCCTTTCACAAAGCACTCTTAGAGCTACGATGATCATAAGGCTATACTAAGTATTACAGCTACCCTTTCACAAAGCACTCTTAGAGCTACGATGATCATAAGGCTGACTAAGTATGGGAGTTACAGCTACCCTTTCACAAAGCAATCTTAGAACTATGATGATTGTAAGGCTATGTTAAAGTAGGTGACTTATGGTCAGACTAGTGCTGACGTCCCTGTGTGGAACGAGGCCCTTTATCTGGGATTCTCAACTAAATAGATAATTTTCGATAAATTGAGAAACAATCTATACTTTATGTGTTCTAATCTTCCTTGTTTCTGGTGTATCTTAGCACCATTACTATGGGTAACAGATTGTAAAGACTCACTCTCAGCCACTTTAGAAGCATACAGGGCTTCCCCCGACATCTCAGCCTCCGGACCAGAAGCAGCCCCTGCGATGACGTCCAGGTCGTCGAGGAAGATGACTGCTGGCTGCCGCCATGCCGCCTCATCAAACAGGTTCTCCAGCACCTTTTGCATATTCTCGACCCTCTTACCTGATGACAAGAGTGGTCAAGTCGGACTTAATCAAGTCACAGAAAACTACAAATTCCTACTAAATTTGATATTTCAAAGAGTTATTCTGTCTCACATGTTAAGGCCCACCCAGCCAACTCCACCTAAGATTCCCAGCCAATTTTTAAGGGAATAACTGGATTGGGAACAGCACAGTCCTCATCCATCATGTGCTCCCACCTTGTGGAAGGGTCAATTATAAATGAATTTTGTCTTGTTGATGTCACACAAGGATATCTAGGATATGACCAAAAACTTGTTTCCACCTAGTACTGAAATGAGGTAGTAGAAAGGCAATATGTGCAACAGAATCATGTAAAACATATGATATATGGATTCTTACAGATTTAGAGGCCATAAATAAATTAAAAAAATATGCACCAGAGCAAGACAATACAATGATTGTAATTTCAAGCAAAGGTCCAGGGCCCCGTTCCTCAAAGCTATCGTAGCGCAAAGTTGATCGTAGCTCCCATACTTTAACATAGACTTACGACTGTTGTAGCGCTACGATTGCTTTGAGGAACGGGGCCCAGACCATCAAGTAACGAGGACAATTGGTCAGCCAAGTCACTGAGTCTGACCCCATGGTCACATACGACCAGCACAGGTTTCTGGGGATGAATTCTGACCCAGAATCCCAGACTGAACACAAACATCCACACAGACGTTGATCCGTCAAGATCCAGGACAAAACTGGTCCTCAGCAACCCATGCTGTTCTTTAGAGCAGACCACCGCCATATTGCAGAGCTCAGTGTTCAACAACAAACAACCACACAAACACTACTACACTCTGCCCCACGGTCTTCAGACCCGGACTTACCTCTGAGAGGCTTACAGTCAATGACCACTGTATGCGCCATCACAGGTAGTTCGGCCAACAGCCTACAGAGGGCCTTCCCGAAGGAGGTCTTCCCCGATCCCTTCGGTCCCGTTATCAGGAGGATGCCGTTATGTAGCCCCGGGCTGCTGACAAACATGGTCTTGGACAGTTTCCTGGCACCAAGACAAGCCTCCAGGTGGTACAAGGCCTGCCCAGCCAGTTTGTCTATCCCACTGAAAATACAAAGACAGGACTCACAAGGCAGAGAAATTCACTGATGGCAGCTTCCTTATCATAAAGAACACAATGTTTCTGAGTATTTGCTTATACCTTCATCGTGTTAACGGACATTGAGTGATTGATTTAAAATCCCTCTGCAGTGAGTGAGTGAGTTTAGTTTTATGCCGCACTCAGCAATATTCAAGCTATATGGCGGCGGTCTGTAAATAATTGAGTCTGGACCAGACAATCCAGTGATCAACAGCATGAGCATTGACATGCACAATGGGGAACCGATGACATGTGTCAATTAAGTAAGCGAGCCTGACCACCCGATCCTGTTAGTCGCCTCTTACGACAAGCATGGGTTACAGAAGGCTCATTCTAACCAGGACCTTCACAGGTCGAAATCACTCTGGACTTGTTCTGAGCTGTCAGAAATCTAGAACTGTGTACCTTCTGTAATGACATATGGATACTATGAAGCCTGGATCAGAATTGGTTTGTTTTTTGCTCAATGCCCCACTCAGGAATATCCCAGATATATGACTGCGGTCTGTAAATAATCAAGTCTGGACCAGACAATACTGTGATCAACATCATGAGCATTGACGTAACCAGTTACAATACGACGACATGTGTCAACCAAGTCGCCATTAATCGCCTCCTATGACAAGCTGACGAATAAGGTTTCCAATTTGAGAGGAACTGGATATATTCAAGATCAGTAAATGGACATACCAACCGCCATCTAACATACATTTGAACACGTTTCTATACATATACCATTTTTTATATTGCAACTGTCATGTTCTTTGAGATTAGATTTGTTTCTTTTCACTGCATGTACAATACACATCTTCTGTCAGACATACCCTAACAAAGTTTGCCGTGAACTCCATCTGCTGTGCCACGTATATCAACTGTCCTCATTTATGTCAACACAAATATTTTTGCATCAACCAGGATTCACAATGTAAACTATTTGAACTAGTGTTCCCTCTATCATTCAGAAAGGGCAGGGTAACTTAATGGAAAAGGGCAGTCTATGATGTAAAAGGGCATGTTGGTGAGGATTATTGAAAAAATAACAAAACATATATGACATCAAATGCTCTTGTAATGTTAATTTCTAAACTTAATTTATTACTCTTCTCTCATTTTGATTTAAGATTAATGTTTGAAAAAAGTATTTTAAGACATTGATCTCTTATCACAGTCATGTCCTTAGATGAACTTCTATCAGCCATCAGCATGGCAAACAAGGCATTTTAAAAACCACTACACTGACACATATTGATCCTTTAAACAACTCAATTGCTAAAAACCATTCACAATTCATATGTGAAAATACCACTCAAAATTCACCAAATAAACCCCTGGACGACCCTGGACACCCCTGGATGCCCCCCTAGACACCCCTGGACACCCCTGGACGCCCCTGGGCACCCCTAGACACGCCTGGACTCCCCTGGACACCCCTGGATGCCCCTGGGCACCCCTGGACGCCCCTGGGCACCCCTAGACACCCCTGGATGCCCCGGGAGACTATGTACTGTTGCTGCATGAGATATAAAGTACCCACCCAAGGTGTCTGAGTTGTATCACGGGGACCATCGGGTCAAAGTCAGACACAAATCGGAAGGGCAAGAAGGGGCTGATGACGGTGTCATCTTTAGGGACATCCTTTTGCACCCCGATCACCATGTCATCAATGTTGTCGGATTGAAGGAACATGTACTGCTGCTGTTGTCCATCGTTGTCCACAGGGGTGAAGGTCAACTGGGCCTCAAGGTGAAGTCCTGCACAATGGACATTGACCTGTTATTGTTCAATAAAGGTGATGTAGACTGTAGATGCCTCTCAATAATTCTAGCAACTCAAAACTGTCTACAATCCTAAAATTGGAAAGTGTGGTTTGTAATTAACAGCAATCATGACGATAATACAGACTTCCAGAACATTTGAACATATCGGCATAGGTTCTGACCATTACAACCTGCAAGCCAAAATCATGAACTTTACATTTAGCATAATTAAACAATGAACATGAACAATTTCCCTGCATATATCATGAACTTGATCATTAGCATGCAAATTCATGAACATAACCCTCTACCTGCATAAATCATGAACTTGATCATTAGCATGCAAATTCATGAACATAATTCTCTACCTGCATAAACTATGAACTTGATCATTAGCATGCAAATTCATGAACATAACCCTCTACCTGCATAAATCATGAACTTGATCATTAGCATGCAAATTCATGAACATAACCCTCCACGTGCATAAATCATGAACTTGACCAGTCACCTGTGTAAATCATGAACATGATCCTCTACCGGCATAAATCATCAACCTGACCACCAGGGATTTACGGAACGTGAAATCCTGGGCCTAGATTTTCGAAGCTCTCTTAACGCTAAGATAGTTGTAAGTGCCATACATTAACATTAACTTACGACTATCTTAGCGCAAAGAGAGCTTTGAAAATCTAGGCCCTGCTTCCTATACTCATAAAAATTTACAACGGACAAAACGCAATTGATGAGTGACCCCACAGGGATGCAGAAATTTATTTCTTTTGTAAAAACTTCGATCAAGTAACAATAAGCTATCACTGAGTCTGCTACTAGCCAGGTTATGGTATCATTTGCAATTTAATTACTGTGACAATGTGATGATCACGATACACAATGCAATAACATAGTATTAATAATATAATATTTAAGTGTCTGGGACCCCCATCTTGTAGTCCGGGACCCCTGAAAATTAGAGTATGAGTCCCAGGTACCCTCAAATACAGGATTCTAGGTATCCCTGTGACCACCCACCTGCATAAATCATAAATCATGAACTTGACCACCCACCTGTATAAATCATCAACTTGACCACCCACCTGTATAAATCATCAACTTGACCACCCACCTGTATAAATCATCAAATTGACCACCCACCTGTATAAATCATCAACTTGACCACCAACCTGCATTAGCCATCAACTTGACCACCCACCTGTATAAATCATCAACTTGACCACCCACCTGTATAAATCATCAAATTGACCACCCACCTGTATAAATCATCAACTTGACCACCCACCTGTATAAATCATCAACTTGACCACCCACCTGCATAAATCATCAACTTGTTCACCCACCTGTATAAATCATTAACTTCTTCACCCACCTGTATAAATCATCAACTTGACCACCCACCTGTATAAATCATCAACTTGTTCACCCACCTGTATAAATCATCAACTTGACCACCCACCTGTATAAATCATCAACTTCTTCACCCACCTGTATAAATCATCAACCTGTTCACCCACCTGTATAAATCATCAACCTGATCACCCACCTGTATAAATCATCAACTTGACCACCCACCTGTATAAATCATCAACTTCTTCACCCACCTGTATAAATCATCAACTTGACCACCCACCTGTATAAATCATCAACTTCTTCACCCACCTGTATAAATCATCAACTTGACCACCCACCTGTATAAATCATCAAATTGTTCACCCACCTGTATAAATCATCAACTTGATCACCCACCTGCATAAATCATCAACTTGATCACCCACCTGCATAAATCATGAACTTGACCATGATACCCTGGAACACAACCAGCGGGTGCTCTTCATCTGTACAATGTCGCACCCACGTTTTGAACGCCAGCACGATCATATGTGGGCTGACACGACGAGGCTGAGAACAGGAACAGGACACATTGCATTAAGTGCACGCTGACATGATCATCTGTTGTGTTTAGGCTGTGAACTTTTTATTGCATGCATCAATATTCAAGCAAAACATCACTGCAGACTGGAAAGCACCAAACATTTGATATTCCAGGGTGGGGTTTTCGTAATCGGCTTGGGGAGGGTAGGTGTGGTTGGCTGAGATCGTTTTAGCTACAGCTGCCAATTCAAATCTTTCCATCAATTATGGGGGGTATTTTGTTTAAAAAGTAAGCTGTAGTTTTGCGGTTGACAATATTCTCTTTTTGCAAAAGTGTAATATAGATTTTTTTCAAGCACTTTGGGGATAATTTATCCCTGGTGCTCCAAGGGTGTCAAATGGTTGGTTTCCTCAATTCTGTAAATAATTAGGACAAATTTGAAGTCAAAGAAATATAGTTGCAAACAGAGAAAATCTTACCACAACAGACAAGGGATAAAGTTGCAGCTTCCTGACTGCGACCGGTTCAGACCGGACTGTCTGCAACCAGACTCGTCCAGTTACATCCAGTTTCATCTGCCGTCTCAAAAGATCAGGGACTATGACATGTCCACTGAGAAATGGCTGCTCCTTAAGCAGTCTCTCAACACAGTTGGTCCAGCGGCTATCACACAACGATCCTTGCCGCTCAATGGTCACTACACGGACTATTGCACACACATCCCCTTCCCCATCGGTGGCCGAATTCTCAGCAGCCCTCGCAACAGGAGGCTTGGTGCCTTTCTTATCTGCACCTCCAGCAGACATCGTCCGTTTCACGTCCGACTTCTTCTTTTCCTCCGTACCTGATTCCTTGGGAGAAGAAAGCTTCCTCAGTTGTGCATAGAAGACTCGGGGAAGATTGGCCTGCACAAAGTTTGTCTCTGTTTGTTTTAACACATCATCAACTTTAACAAACACCATCGACGGTTGGAACAGTTCTGGAGTGGCAGTACTTTGTTCTTTGACAAGGTTCTGGTGGCCAGGCAGGAACTCAGGATCAAGAGTTGATGGGGCATTCTTCATCTGGTGCTTCTTACGAGCCTTTGCTCGGGACAATGACTTTGGCATGTTCTGCAACACTGACGTACTCAAGAGCTCTTCGGGATTGCAAAGAAACTTCATTGCTTGTGTTCGAAACACGAAATTGTGTCGTTGTAACACAAATGTCTCTTTCTTCTCTATATCATATGATGTTTTCTCTGTCTCCTTGTCAGATGTGTAATAGTCGCTGATTGGTAACCACGAATACATATACTTCCAGAAATGTTCCATCATGGATGACTGACGTTTGATGAGACGTTTGGGTTCACGTCTCTCAGACTCATTGGCAAGAGACATCTTCCTCCCCAGCTCCCGCTGGTTAGTCTGGGCGTTGCTGGCATACGTTCCCGGGTACGGGTCACTCTTGCTTTTCCTCTGTCGGACAAACGATTCTGGCTTTTTACCATGCTCTTGACCAAACATGTTCCGTTCCTGGGATGACCTTCCATCATCCATGGCATGGTTTCTGACCTTCGGCGCCACAATGACTTCTGTGGCATTGTCCAGCAAAGCGCAAGAGGAGACAGGGTCCACGCTCACTAGAAACAGAATGTGATGATTTGTGGTCTTTTTTGCTTTTTTCTTGTTTCTTGTTTGAATTGGTTGGTTTGTTGTTCAACGCCGCACTCAGCAATATTCCAGCTATATGGCAGCAGTCTTTAAAAAATCGTGTCTGGACCAGACAACCACAATCATGAGCATTGATACATGTGTCAACCAAGTCAGCGAGCCTAACCCCCCAATCTCGTTAGATGCCTCTTACGACAAATATTGAAGATTAATTCTAACCTGGATCTTCTAGACTACTATTGCTTGAAGCTGCAGTAATCAATATACCTGACTGACTGACTGAATTTGGTTTTACGCCGCTTTTAGCAATATTCCAGCAACATCACGGCGGGGGACACCAGAAATGGGCTTCACAAATTGTACACATGTGGGGATTCGAACCCGGGTCTTCGGTGTGAAGAGCCAACGCTTTAACCACTGGGCTACCCCACCGCTTCTAATCAATATACCTACTTAAACACAGCAGATTGTATATAATCAATTGTTTGATTGGCATTCAATGCCAATGAGTAAACAGAGAAGTTGATGAGTAAACAAAGAATCTTTATGGATACCAACGTTTTGTTTGTGCATAGAGCGACATTTTGGTGTAGATTCTTACGCCATTGTCAAAGTATGGATGAGAGGTATGTATACATAGCGTGTTGTGAGAAGCATCATCATAACATCAACAACAACAGGATACTTAAAACAATAAGCACACAATTGGAGGAAGCCGGGTAAATTTTGACCATCATGTCCCATCAAGCATGAAAGCAATTTGACACACACTGTCAGGACATTTTCATAATATACAGTGAAACCTGTCTAAACCCACAGCCCATGGGATCGAAATATAATGCCATTTTAGACAGGGTGCCAGATTAGACAGTGACGATCATTTTCCAACATGGCTGCCATTTACACTCGTCAATATTTTTACGCGTCACTCACTTGAAAACAGTTAATGCAATCCCGCAGGGTTTATACAGCATAACCGTGGTAATCCTATGAGCGTTTGATTCACCGCGCAATCACTTATTCCTGATTATCTAGCATGCCAAGAGGATTAATTAGTGTATTGGATTATGGGTCCTTGATTGGACTGCTCATACCCATGCCAGTTTAGACAGTGTTAATTACAGTTAAAACTGCTTGTTGGGACAGGAAAGTCGTACCGGAATACGGAATAGACAGGTGCCGGATTAGACAATGTTTTAATGATCATGATATCGTTGTAAGATGGGACCAAAATTTTATGCCAGTTTTGACAGTGTGCCGGATTAGACAGGTGCCGGTGTTGGCAGGTTTCACTGTAGTTGCACACAAGCAACTCAAAACTACTTGGGTAAAGATAACATAACTTTTCACATTTTTTGTTCACTGTATTTCACTCTTATACCATCAATGGAGAAAAAAGAAATGTATATTTCAATCTAAATGTTTTGGAAATGTTGTGGTCAGTAACACTACTGACTTAGGCAATAAGAGGGAAAATGAAAATATAATTCAGTCAGTAAACTTACTGTCTAGTTGTTTTAGTCAGTACCGCTACTGACTAGGCAGTACCCTATTGTTAAGGCAGTAACACTACTGACGGAGTTTCCTTATTGATCCTAACATATCTAGCTTATCTTGAACTCTAGTCAGTATAGGGGCGGTGGGGTAGCCTTGTGGTTAAAGTGTTTGCTCGTCATACGGAAGTCCCAGATTCAATTTCCCACATGCGTACAATGTGTGAAGCCCATTTCTGGTGTCCTCCGCCGTGATATTGCTGGAATATTGCTAAAAGCAGCGTAAAACTACTCAGTCATTCATTCACTGGTCAGTAATACTGCAACTACATCATGGTGGCTCAGTCACTGGGCCAGACAAACCAATGGTTGACAGCATGAGCACCTACTGTGACACAGTAACATAGTTTTAGACATTTTTGGTAAAGACACAACCTCTTACAAATTCAGGAAATCTTGAAAATGTCCTACATAAGATCTGTCTCAAGTCACTGGGCCAGACAAACCAATGGTTGACAGCATGAGCACCTACTGTGACACAGTAACATGGTTTTAGACATTTTTGGTAAAGACACAACCTCTTACAAATTCAGGAAATCTTGAAAATGTCCTACATAAGATCTGTCTTGAGCAGTCATTTCACCCTCATTGTAACTGGCTCTGACAACAGCCCTGGGCTACTTTGCATCCATTCTGCCCTAGATGCTCCACAAAGATTTCGTGAGTGAAATGTTATCATACTGTATACTTTAGTTAGGCTATAAGTGAGTGAGTGAGTTAAGTTTTACATCATTTTTAACAATATTGCTGCAATATCACGGCGGGGGACCCAAGAAATGGGCTTCACCCATTGGAACCATGTGGGGAATAGAACCCGGGCCTTCAGCTTGATGAGCAAATGCTTTAACTGCTAGACAGCCCCACCACCCAAGATTGGCTATAATATGTGTGACTTGACTGACAACAAACATCAAACTACCAAGTGTTTGACTCCAAGTTTGGGTGCAGGTACAGTGTCAGGGACTTACCGACTTTCAGGAAAATGCAGACCGACTTGGACACCCAGAGAGGGAGAACCTGCCCCGGCCATACCACGCGTACCTGGTCCAGCATGTGTGTCTCCACAAACACTGTGTGCTGCTCCTGTAACACAACACTCATGATCAATGACACACCACACGTATCTGGTCCAGCATGTGTGTCTCCACAAACACTGTGTGCTGCTCCTGTAACACAACACTCATGATCAATGACACACCACACGTACCTGGTCCAGCAAGTGTGTCTCCACAAACACGGTGTGCTGCTCCTGTAACACAACACTGGAGTCAAACACTACAGTCACGACACCTCAGTCAAACAGAACAGTATGGTCAAATACCACCCTGGGTCAAACACTACCATTAGGGTCAAACATGACTCTAGAGATAAAAAACTATGCTTGGGTCAAACATAAAACCACTATCAACTACAACCCCAGTTTGAACACAACACAATGCAGTACTTGAGTCAAATACTACAAATAAATTCTATAAACAAAAAAACTTGGAATATATGAAACAAATTACATATAGGAATATAGGAGTGCTAGAATCAAACTTGTCAGTAAACTATTGCCATTTTAACTTGCAGCATTCACAATGCTTCCATATTTCAATAGTTTCAATATATGGTTAGGCCAGACCAATTCTATTTCTTGTTTTACGGATTTTTGTCCTCAGAAAACCTAAAGGCAGGAGGGAAAAAAAATAAAAATAAAATCACCAGTCAAAGCAATATTCCTTCTAAATACTCAAAGTATTTTGCTTTTGGCAATTTATGAAGCGTATATGGGGCCAAAAACAATCTAAAAAATTTTTGTCTTGTAAGTATGTAATTTTTCAAGTAAAATTGATATTTTATACTTATCCTGACTGATGACCTTTTGCTTATCTCCCTTTCCCTTGCGAATGGTAGTGGAACATTCCCTTCCCACAGAGGTTACTCCCGTCATATCTTCCTACGTAACCTCTGTTCTAATACGGCCCTTTCATGGTGTGAGCGTTCAAGACTGGTGATTGGAGGCAATCAGATTTAGTTGTGCAATCAGCGACGTTGTTTCAAAAGTGATCATTCGCAAGGCCTCGGTAATTTCCGTATGCTTCGAGAAAACTAAACTTCTTCCCCTGCGCGATGCGCAAACGTTTCTTCTAGACAGAACTCAGTCATGTTATGGCGGATCAGTGGCGTCTCCATCGCCCTCGTTGACAACGGACAAGCTAGCCATTAAACGTCTTGTGTGTAACATCAACACAAGTCCCCGGCAGATGGGGGATATTTGTGGCCCCACATTTGCTTGTGTTAGTCAAGTTGTATCTAAGTCGATGTAACACGTGTTCTGATTGGATAGAAAGAAGGGAGATAATTCGTGTTGCGATCTTTTGCCGCTAGGGGATTTTACGAGAACCGGGAAATATGGCCGTATTAGAACAGAGGTTCGTAGGAAGATATGACAAGTAACCTCTGTGGGAAGAGAATGGGGGGACCACTTCTTGTCTTACTTCCATCTCACACAAGTTGAATTATCTGGATTCATGTGTCTTCAGATAAACTAGTATCTTCTTATTACTAGATATCTATAACAACCCATAGATTATGATAAGATCTTTATCATAAATGAGTTGCGACCCCTTCACGTACGGGTAAGATCTTTACCCGTACAGGATCTTTAATCACTCATGCTAGTCTGTGCTAGACTGTGCGCATAGGCTTTCAAACTAATACTTTTCCTTAGTAAAAGTTATCAACAAGTCAACATGATAAAGGGTGAGATTTTCCAATCAGCGCCTTTGAGGAACCGTTAGTTGCTGTGCTACAACGAGAGGCCCAGATTGGGGAATGCCTGAGACGTCTTCAGTGGCTATGTCTCGGAGGTAGTGGTTGGCAAACACCGTGTCCGACTTCCAATAGCAGCCCTCCATAATTGCTGATATAGAGCCATTTCCGTGCAGAGCCAATTTTGACGCCAGTGCTCTGACTTCGTGTGGGTTGGAAGATCTAGGAGGATCTAGTCCTGCTGCTTTATAGGCTCTCAATATGACGGCTCTCATCCAGAACGATATCGTCGTTCTTGAGACTTCTACTGATGTCTCTGTGGATAATGGGATGAACAGGCGCGCTTGAATTTTCGTCTCCTTGTCTTAGTCTTTTGAAGATATATCTCAGGGCTCTGACCTGACACAAGGATAGGTCCTCTATATCCTCTGGTCTGAGGATTGTTGGACTTCTGGGATCTTCTATAAGGTCTAGGAACCATACTCTCGCTGGCCAGTATGGCGCGACCAAGGTCAGTTCTTCCCCTTATATATGCAGGCGATCTGTTTTGATCAGCATACATCGAAGCGTGTAGCATCGCAGGGGACAGGTACTCATACCGACTTTTATCAGCGACAACTTCCAAAATAAACATCGTTTATGCTGCTGTCAAGGCTAGACATCTATTCGATTCCCATGATGATAACAGGCCGTAGTTGCATACTGTTTCCAAGGCTGCCGATGAAGTATTCCCCCGTACCACGGTTTGTTTACAAGTCAGTAAACTTGCTGGTGCCTGCTCTGTCAGTGGGAGGCGTTGTCTGACGTGGACCAATCAGCTTCAAGCATGACGTCACCGCTGTTGTAGCAAGTTTGCCTACATAAAATCAGATGCAATTAGTTGGTTGAGTAAAAGCGCGCGTAATTCTACACCGCTCATATAAACCTCTTGAATAAGGGTTGCTCCAAGTGTAAAATATTGTTCAGTGATAAAAATCACGTATTCCCATTGTGGATAATATAAGCCAGCATGACGAAGGAGGCTGTCGAGACGTATGTCTGGATGGATCTTGAAAAAATAAAGATGTTGAATCTAGTTGATAGAATATAAAATCCTAATCCCCACTCTGAGTGACGAGTGTTAATAATATCATCTGTACATCCGTTCAAGGATTCTTGAAGGCGTTGTTAACCTTAAGCCCTTTACAAAGGTCGCCTTGAGGTTCTCCAGTACTTGAGATATCGGCTTCATAGGTGATATCATATTGGAGTCAAAGTCATCAGCGTATATGCAGGGGAAAATTCATTTTTATTTTTTTTCTTATTCTTGAAAAATATGACACGCAGATCCGTAAAACAAGAAAAAATATTGGTCTGGCCTTATATCCTTTAACCATGTTCACAGAGGTTTGGTGGAAAAGTTCAGTCAATTTCGTTTATTCCTCAAGTATTCTAACGATATATCTAATTGAGCAACATGTCATTTACAAGAACTTCATTTTGCTCATAACTTCTGAACTGAATCCCAACTTCTGCAACATCAAGACAAAATGTTCCTGCCCTTGCCCAATCAACCCACTCCCAAGTTCTACAGAATACCATGATTCACACAGTCACTATTTGTTTGTTTGTTGTCCTAACTTCGCACTTAGGAGATAAACGTACTCTGTTTGGAAATTAGATGAATGTTAGACCGATTGATGGTCTCTAAATTTCATTTGAAGCCGAACGCATAGCGTAAGGTTTCAAATGATTAATTTTGAGACTATCAATTCAGTCTAACATTCATCTAATTTCCAAACACAGTATGTTTATCTCCATTCTACCATAACCGATTTAACATCGAACTTCCTCGTCCTGCGGCAGACACTGCGTAATCTGGCATGGGATGAGAGGCGAATTGAACTCGTCTGATAAAGGAGTGGTAGGTTCCTTTCGTATTTTTTTTAACATTGCAACATAAAAAATATTCTGTCATAAGAAAACAAACTACTGTTTATTCAATGCAATAATGTAACGACTAAGAGCTTGGTTTTTATAATCATAACCCCACAAGACCGAAACCAGCCTATTGTTTTGTGTGCCGTGTTACTGTAACCCCCTGGCCACACTATAATGGAATCGTCTGACCTACTTATTTTCTTGGAAGTAGACAGTTACGCAACAGTTTGAAATGGCGGACGAGCCAGTGTTTACATTTTGCGAAAGGTTGAAATTCGATGTGACAGTGGAAAATGCTTGACTGATTGTCGAACCTGAACCCTGCAGAATCGAAGAATAGATCCTTTTCTGATCGACCTATGACCTGTAAGTCATCAAAGACTGTTAATTTTTATGACCGGCGAGTGTAGATCATGATTTCACTGGCGTGCCTCCACCCCGGCATGCGAAGAAGAGTGACAGTGCTGCTTTGTGTACCTTCGACTAACTTGGGATTCCTTGGAACATTGTTCTCATCATTTGGGACTGGATTGTGGCCAAGCTTTTCAAAGTGTACGAATATAGCAGTGACAGCCTTCGGGGAAGGTGGCAGAGAACTGAATTCTCATGGTTCAGTTTTTTACATTTTGAACGATGCAACAGGACATGATGGAGTATGAGTGGCAAATTTTGTGCTTTGCCTGACCGTTATCTTGCGAATTTCCCATTCTAAACGGAAACAAATATACGAACGCTTTGCCGCACAAATAGGGATAGATAGGGATGTATTGTTACAAGGTTTTCAAATTTATATGTTAGATATTGTTTGTTTATGTGTGGGGCTGTGTATTGTAATTGAGTTTGAATATTTTTATAATAGAACGTAATAATTATGATAGTGAGGTCCCCTAATAATTGTGGAGGAGAAATCGTATAATTGTATTTTTCGAGTTTTAATGTTTCATCAGCATTTCCATCACGTCTGTTGTGTTGGTATTAGTCATGTTGGTGGCCAAGCTGATGTAGTGCGGCAGTGTTGTATACACAGTGAAGCACCGTGAAATCAGACGCATTTTCAATCCAAATTGATATCGTCTGATTTTATGGCTTGACCAATCAAATTCGAGCATTTCACGTAGCCATGGTAGAATCAACAATATTCCAGCTACATGACAGCAGTCTGTAAATAATCAAGTGTGGACCAGACAATCGGGTGATTGCATCGTAAGCATTGATCTACACATTTGGAATATGATGACATGTATCAAACAAGTCAGCGAGTCGGACCACCCAATCCCAGTAGTCGCCTTTTACCTCCAGCATGGGCAGAATCGAACTAACCTGTAGAGGTTTCAGATTCTTTGAATATATTCCTCCTTGGGGTACGCCCGCCCACCTCCTCACATTCTGTCTGATTTCGTTCAGCATGGAAAGTGAGGTACCAGGTTATAGTCTAGAGTTACCTGCTCTTGGCTGTAGGGGCTCGTACCAAATTATAATACTGGTATGTTTTCTAGGAAATTAAACCATCTCTGCTTTAGCATTAAGTACTTGTCTGCTGTGCCTTGATCAAAATTCATGCACTCTTCTTACTTAGTGAGCACATGTAACATGACTTACCAGTATCTCCCAGTCATCTACGGAGAGTGGCTCGACTGACACACGACGAGCAGTCCCAGGGTTCCTCAGTGCTTTCAGGATCACCTGCAGCATGATAGAATATATGGTGGTACTTGTAGGACAGACAAACACACATGGAAGTATGAGGGTTGAGAAGTTTCCTTCCCTCAAGATTTCCCTTCCTCGTTTAAAAAGTGATATGTCTGCAGTGATACATCTTTTATGTGTAAACACAGACAGATAGCTCTACCGCCATATGTGTGTTGTCAGTATTAGGACAATATGAGTTGTGTCCCTTGGATACATGTACTCACCCCTGCTCCTCATTTTATGAGTGAGTGAGTGAGTGGTTTTACGCCGCTGTTCGCAATATTTGGGGTTGGTGGGTGGGTGTGTGCTTGAGTGAGTGAGTGGTATGGGTTTACACAGCTTTAAGCAATATTCCAGCAATATCACGGCAGGGGACACCATAAATCAGCGTGACAAGCGACCGCTTTAACCACAAGGCTACCCCCACCACCCCTCTTTATTTTATGTGTGAGTAAACATTGTCTTGTACCTGTTGTAGTGGCCATAAAACTTCAGAGTCCTTACCAGGGATTCAAACATCAGGGATTGGGATAGAGAACTTTGACAATGGGCCATTTTCAGGATTATTAACCATTTTCTGAATTTAGAATGGGCCACTGCCCTCGTATCAATAGTAAACTTCAAAATTTTAATGGGCCATTTGTTATTCTCATGTACAAAATGGCCCATGGCCCCTGCCTTTCCCCATCCCTGTAGGACATTCTAATTTGAAGTCTGATGCATTGTAGCGTTGGTTAAAATCTCAGAATTGATGATTGGTTCATTACAACCGATCAATCATTGAAAATAATTGGTTAGCGTCATTTATCAAATTTTCCTGTTATCTTTGTTGATACACAAAAAAATAAAGAAAAAACATGTAATTCTCTGGAGTGTTTTGCAAACTGCACAAAGTACATTTGCAAATTTCAGATATCTAAATAATGACTAGTATGTTAGGAACATAAATTTCCTGGAGTCTTTAAGATAAATTCAATCATGACCTGGAACGAGTTTGAATTGCTTATGAAATGTAAATTAATGATACAGACAAATGCAACCTTGAGAAAAATATTGCTGATGCAAGCAAGTGTTCAAAAATTGTTTGTGTTCGAACATGAGAAAACTTGTTTGATTCCTTGGTCGTTTAGTCACTGCGACCAATATACTACCACTAATGCATTGCCTACATGACGTAAGAGGCTGACCCATCAGCCAGCTGACAAGGAAAGGATGTCATCTGTGGGATGGCTCCACACCCTGACACAAGTCCCCCATTAAGATATTCAGGCTGCATAGTTAGGTACTGAAACTTTATTTACTGAGATTTACACCAATTTAATATGAGCGTGCTCTGTCTTGGGCACCAGTGTGGTGCCAATAAAAGTTTCCAGGCTTGGATCATGGACCTTCTGATCAGAGTGGATGAGTCAGTTTTAAGTCACTTTGGGCAATATTCCATCAGTATTATTTCGGGGATCACCAAAAATGTGGGGAATTGAACCCGGGCCTTCGGCGGTCACTCATCATTTTCAAAACCAGGGTTTTGATTCCCCACATTGGTAAAATGTCTGAAGTCCATTTCTAGTGTCCCCCACTGGATTTTGCTTGAATATTGCTAAAGTGGCATAAAAACACACTCACTTATGCAACATAAAGATCACATCCTTATTGGTACAGAAGCTGCTTTTCAAAACAGGATTGAATGGTATAAATGGGGAATATTTCATATCTGAATAAAGTTAAGTAGTTTTCTTTGATGCCACAATATGTTTGGAAGAAAATCTGACATGGACAGTAAATGCAAACGCTGAGGCAGGGTAGCAAGAAGTCTGTGTAAGTTTTTGGGTATGAGTTTTGAGTGAGTGAGTGAATGAGTTTAGTTTTACGTCGCTATTAGCAATATTCCAGCAATGTCACGGCAGGAGACACCAGAAATGGGCTTCAAACATTGTACCCATGGGGTATCGAACCCGGGTCTTCGGTGTGACGAGCGAACGCTTGAACCACTAGGCTATCCCACCGCCCTCCTTTGGTATGAAGCACAATGAGATCAAAACACAACCCTTCACACAGAAGACGGTAGACCGTTTATCCACTGGACCAGAGATGTAGTCTCAAGTGTCACACTGTGATTACAGAACATTCTGTCCCACCAAATCAGAATCACATGTTCGATGAAACACATTCTTAGATCAGATGGATTATGCTGTGAGGAAGCTGGAACCTATGACTGGATGATCTTGTGTGAGGTTTATGTGGCTCTTAATGTATATCCAAACACAACATAAACAGAACACTCTTTCTAATATTAAGTCCTGTTTTTTAAAGATCACCCAAAGACATTTATTTACATTTGCTGCAGAACAAGGGTTGGTGTGTTAAAACGTCCTGTACACAGAAACGGAACTGGCATAACTAGCCAAACATTGATATTGCAGCTTTATTGGCACATGGATTGGCTGTTAAATGCCTAGTTATTGAAAAGATATATAACCGAAATATAGAAGTCAATGTTCAAACATTTGGTCGTATGTAACCTATCAATGGCCCACCTCTTCCCCACTCTTGAGGCCCAGCTTGTTGGCGTACAAGCCGTTGAGCTCCACCACTTCGCCAGGCAGCACATCGCTTGTGTCCCTGGTCACACTCAGGTACACTTGACTGCTCTGACCAAACTTCAACTGATACACCTGCACCTGAAAAGTATAACACAACACTCGGATCAAACACTACAGCTGGGGCAAATATGACCCTAGGATCAAACTCTACAATAGAGTCAAACATGACCCTAGGATCAAACACTACAGTAGAGTCAAATATGACCCTAGGATCAAACACTACAGTAGAGTCAAATATGACACTCGGATCAAACACTACAATAGAGTCAAACATGACCCTAGGATCAAACACTACAATAGAGTCAAACATGACCCTAGGATCAAACACTACCATAGAGTCAAATATGACAGTAGGATCAAACACTACAGCTGGGGCAAATATGACCCTAGGATCAAACTCTACAATAGAGTCAAATATGACACTCGGATCAAACACTACAGTAGAGTCAAACATGACAGTAGGATCAAACACTACAATAGAGTCAAACATGACCCTAGGATCAAACACTACAATAGAGTCAAACATGACCCTAGGATCAAACTCTACAATAGAGTTAAACATGACACTAGGATCAAACACTACAGTTCAGTCAAACATGACACAAGAGTCAAACAGGATAGTGATAAGGATGTCTGCCATTATGATATTGTGTTCACAGAGCGAGTAACATTTGTGTGTCGGGAGGCCTTGAACTTGAAGTCAGTACATATGTATCAATCAGTCGATCGCAAACGAAGACAGTAACAGTTTTGTGTCGGGAGGCCTTGAAGTCAGTACATATGTATCAATCAGTCAATCGCAAATGATGACAGTAACAGTTGTGTTTCGGGAGGCTTTCAAGTCAGTACATATGTATCAATCAGTCGATCGCAAACGACAGTAACTGTTTCTAGGTCGCATCCACTTGTACATTTCAGCTGAAATGTGTACAACGAACTACAATTATAACAAACTAAGACTGGTTTGTAACCGCAGTTTATTGTATTTAAACACAATGGTAGACCTATTTGATATACATTTCTGCTTAATATACCATATCAGTGAATTAAGTTGCATTTTTCTAAGATGCAGCTCTAATTTTGTCCCATGAGGTCTCAACAAGTTACTGATAATTTACAACTATTGAGAGATGGCACATTAGCACATAATGGACCGCTGTAGAGTTCTCACATAAGGTGCCTGCAGTCAACTAGGAAACGAAGATCAGTAAAGAAAAAGCAGCAGCATCTATGCAGAAAAGGCAACATTCGGTAATTACCCATAGTGACATGGTTACCATGGTTACAACAAGTATTTTGGGGAAATTGTCCTTCTTACAAATTTGTGTAGAACCCTGACAGAATTATGTTTTGCTGACTTAAGTCTACTTTAGACAAATATGAAACTTGTGCTCTGTGAACGAACTTAATTCTATCAAATTCAACCAGGTATGTATAAACATTTTGTGAAAACTTCATTGTATCTGATGAAGTTATCATATCTTCACAAAGATAACTTGCTAATCAGGATGTAGATGAAAACCTTTTTATCTGTTTAGAATTCATGGATGTATACTAAGGTGATAATAATGCAAACTCAGTATGCCAGACTTTCTACGCATCAAATCATTTTTCACAAATAAATGTACATTTCCTTCACACTCACAGTATCCCTCTGCTCTTAACATGAAATCTGCATGAAACAATAGTAAACTAAGCCTGCCTGTATGAAAGACTTCTGGGTATGGGTGTACGCTGAAGGGGTCGTCGGCACGGGTACTACATATATGTACCCCAGGAACGTTTCTGTGAATGCGATCACAGGTAACCAAAATCTGAATACAGAAACGCCCCAGGACAGGTCCATTCTGCATTATGCCGTTTTCATGATCAGTTTTTTATTTGCGTGATAAGGACACGTCACTCATTTAGGGTCCCGGGTATGTTTCTGTATTTTGATTTTTTCTAGGGTACATTTTTCTATACAGAAACGTACATCTGGGGTATATATCTACATATAGTACCAGTGTATGAATAAGCCAAAAACCAAAAAACCAAAAAAGCCATCTGGGATGGTAAAAACTTACCAGCCCAGAAGAGATTTAACCAGTCCTTCTTAAATACTAAATAGACAGTGCCAGTGGACACGTTATTTGAATATTTTTTTCACCGTCAATCGGTCTGGCGAGCTGTAATATTAGACCATCTGGCAGAAATCTAGCCCGTCTCGGGCTGTCGGACGGGCCTTATTTCATACACTGAGAGTACCCATGCCAACAACGTCCCTTCCATCAACACTAACACAAGCATCCCTTAGTATTGAGGGGGCATGAGAGATAATCGAAGCAATACTAAAACTTGATCTTGAAATGCATCTACTTCTTATAACATCCTGCAGTCTCATAATTACATTGTACTACTGGGTTGCGAACAGATTCCATAATCGCACCAGGCATCCATCACGGCTCCACCAGAATGAATGGCATTTTTATTACGTAAATTTTGAAGTTTACTATTGATACAAGGTTTTCCTACAAAGGGCAGTGGCCCATTCTAAATTCAGAAAATGGCTAACATTAATCCTGAAAATGGCCCTTTGTCAAAGTTCTCTATCCCAATCCCTGCGATCTAACGTAAAAATGTTGCTTAGGGATTAACCCTTGAACCACCAGGCCATTACAATTTGGCACATATTGCACGACACTGTCAAACTAAAATAATTTAAATCTATCACAAGAGTATAACATAATTATGTATCAATGACACTGACACTATTCTCATTCAATGTTCTTTTCATTCACCTCGTCCTTTTTACCAGCATTTTTCACGAGAACTTTGGACGGCGTAAGGAAGCAGTGTTTGTTTCCGCTAAATTCAAGGATCGCTGCCACTGCCATTCTGTCAAGTCATTGCGACATAATGTGGAAATCCGCAGTTGCACTAAACACCCCTTGTTTTGGTCGCCATTAAAAGTTGCAGAATGAGAGTTACCTCCCTTCCCACATTTCATGAAGCTCCACTCCATCGCGTGCCACAAGACCTATAGCATGCACTCCTTCGCGGTTTTGGCTTCCTCAGAAATCTTACTGTTTTAAAATAAATTTTGACAATATATTTTCAGCATTTTATTTATCAAGTGATTCCGTATTAGAATCGGAATCGTTTGTAACCTATATCACTGTATTATGTTTCACAAGCAAATGTGCATTGTTAAAACGAAAAGTCTTTATATTTGTATTCTATATTGCAGTGTCTCTGAGTGACCTGACTTAATAACATAATTCAGTGGTGCAGATGTCATATTTGCAGGCAAAGTGTCCTTGTTTGCTGTTTAACGCCGCACCCGGACATATCCGAGCTATATGGAACATCTGTAAATATTCCAGTCTGGACCAGACAATCCAGTGATCAACATCATGAGCACCAATGATGCCGCAGTTGGGATAAGAAAAGTCTCATCATCCATTTTTATGTACTTTTTCATTCTCTGATCTTGACGATATTATTCTAAAAGCATTCGTTGAGGAGCAGTAAATGAAAGTACACACACCTGATGGTGAGGGGAAATATAACAAACACAAACTGGATATTGGATGGTGATATAATTGTTACGGGTATCACAGATGTGTTTTGAACGTTTATCCTGCATTGTTTTCGCGACTGCTTTCAGTCTAGAATCGTTTTCATAACGTTTTACATAATACTGGACTATATTTTGCCCCACAATGACAAGAGGCGACCAAAGGGATTGGGTGGTCAGACCTGCCCACGTGGCTGACACATGTCATCGTATCCCAATTTGCCTACATCAGTCCACATGCTGTTGATCACCGGATTGTCTGTTCCAGACTCGATTATTTACAGACCGCCGCCATATAGCTGGAATGCTGAGTGCGGCGTTGAACAGCAAACTAACCTACCAACCCACACCTTAATTCCGCATTTAATTTTCAGATTAATGGTCTTTCATTCCCCGAACTATATCGATCCTTCAGATGATTCCGAAGGAGACTTCGATGCACTGTGGAATGATTAGTTTGGATTTAATCGATCTTCGACTAGTCAAAAATCTCACATCTAGTTTATCAGAGAGCCATCGTAATACTATTTATAACGAGACTGGGCGTTTGCTATTTATTTCGAGCTGTTTGGTGTATGGTATTTTCAAGGGTGTATGGTATCTACATATGAAGTTCCGGGCAGACTAAGTCCTCAATATATCTCTTGTCCCCGTTAAAGACGTCATGAGTCGTTGCTCACACTGGCAAACCACCGACTTGCTAGGTGAATGTCAGAAAGTTGAAATTTCTCGAAATGTAGAAATTCTCAATCACATGGTCAGGAAAAAACACGGGCGTTGACCTCGGGAATACAGAATCCTTGAAAGTGGCATATCGGCAAGCCTTACTTCTTCAGTGTAAAGTGAGAGACCGAGTAATCCGTTTTTCGTATCGTCACGGCTGTGTATGAGTGGTTGGTCTTCCGGTTGTGTACGGGTCGGCTCTAGGCCAAATGATCCGACCCCGGTCTGTTTAAAGACTTTTCACCAAAGGACACAGACTTTGATATTTTCGGGCAATCTCGAATGAGATGGTTAGGGTCTTTGCAGTAAAAGCACTCAGAACGAGCTGGCGAGTAGGAACGCTGTCTAGTTGTTTGTTGTTCCGGTACTCGTGAAATACTCAGCTGATCAAACCTTGTGGCGATTTGCGACAATGCGGCAATGACATTATCTACCTTACCAGAGAGATGTTTTACTTGTTGGTCCAGAGCGACTGTGTACTCAGGTGTACCACGTGGTGTAGATGTTCTCACTGGTGTTGGTGTCTGTACCTGAGCAGAAAGTGCACTGTCAGACTGCTGTAGATCCATCCTTGGAGACATGCAATACTCATTCCCTCCTGATAAAGAGAGATTGTGGGACCTCCCGTGGAGCACGCATCAACCCCTGTGGAACATATGGACGTCCTCTTGAGGAAAGACTTTGCCTTGACTTGTCAAACCCACGAGTTCGCCTTGCAAGCAGATCCTCATTTTCACTGTCGTCCTGAAAATAAGACTCTGAAACTCGGCGAGCTTGTTTGCGGGACGTCCACTGATTGGTGTGGAGTGCCCGACGGATGATGCGAACAGCTTTGTCCACTGTCTGTGGTCTCATGTTAAAGCCAAAGCCCCTGCATCGGAATCAAAACAGCCTCTACAAACTGTTTCACGATACAACGCAGGGCAGGCAGCAAAAGAGTAGCTTGCTTGTAGTTTCACACGGTCCGCAAAGTCTCTAATATCTTCATCTCGTCCTTGCATCAGATTGTCAAACTTTATTGACTCTTCAGCAGGATTCTCACCAGCGGCATAACGGATCCGGAAATCTGATACTAAAGTACTCCAAGGAATAGTTGACAAGGGTCTATCACCAACCAACAAGCTGTAGTACAATGCAGCACCACCATGCAGTGTGTGTACACATTCCCTCGTTTTCCTTTCAGCGTCCCAACCACATGATTCACCAAAAGATTCATATTTCAACAGAAAGGTTCTCCAGTCACCAGATCCGTCAAATGTGGGAGGCTTCGACGGTGTCCGGTCAAAATGGGTTTTGCTCTCATTGAAGTATCTGGTGGAATGATTCACAGTGCGGTTTTCAGCGAGGTCCTGGTATGTGCGGCCAAAGTTCTCACGTTCAGCTGTGCTGAAACGGTTGAGTGATGAATGGGGTGAAACACAGTTTGTTCATATTTCGAACTGCCCAATAAAGAATCCCTGGATTCAAATGACAAGCACTGTTTGGCAATATCACAAAGTTCTGGCAAATTACGTGCTACATCATCAAACTTCAGGTCACCTTTGCTATCTCTCAGTTTAAGGATGTTGACTGCAGCACTCTGTGTCAACTCTTTAAGGGGAATCAAATCCTCTAAAGTGGCTACATTAATGTACACCAGCATCATGGAGGTTGCAATATTGACACTACCTCAAAACAAAAATAGTCCACAATTTGTGATTCAATAATGATAATCGTCAATTCAACAGTCGCAGGTATGAGGGACAAACACCAGTACTCTTCTACAAATAGCAAATTTATCAATCACCCGGGTCAAATGGCTGTCATGCAACCGCGGCGTTTCTCAAATGCCAATCACAGCCCAGCATATAAATGGTGAAATTGTCTCAAATTCAGTCGTGAAACCTTCAGCGGGTAATCATACAAAGCAGTTCCACCACTCTCATCCAATAGTCACTCAAGAACGGAATGAAAACCCAAACGAAGCCAATCTGAACTCAGTCGCCACAACCATGCGTATGCCAGACACCAGCGATGTCCACACATAAACCAAAATTTCAGTTCTAAAAAATCACAAAGCTGACATAACAACCACTGTCAAAACGGTTAAAGATAAGTACAAAACCCTTCCACACAATTTAAAACACAATACCACTCAAAATATCGAGCCAAAGTATCACAGTTCACCTCTGGCTAAGCAGTGTAAGCACTAGCTCACAGTCACAACCACGTGTCACAAACGCGCCCTACTCCAACTCCAAAACAAATCAAAATGCGATGGGCCCAAACAAAACAACCAAACCACACGAATCCCCGCGATTCGACAGTCACAGCGCCAGTAAAGTGAAGCAGCCTGCTTACACCTATGATACAACCTATATAGATCCTTATAGCTAAACTATTCTACACGTGTTTTTAACTTTCAAGTCTAATCTACTTCCGGGTACTACAAAAAGTCCTAATTATGCATAATGCGGAACACACCCATACAACAGTATTTAAAGACTACACATAGACGGGTTATCCCGGAAATATATATATCTGTGACATGTCAGCTAAAACAGAACCTTCCATGTAGGGAGCTTTACATGTGATCATTTGATTTACGTACACGTCGATCCTAAACTATATTCCAGATAATGCTTCTATTATTCCACTACCGACAATAACTTATTTTAAAAACCCAACAAAATCACAGTTGTTTCCCGAGAGGGACAAGACATTTGTTAGGCTTGAAGGCCTATGTCCAAACTGTGTGGTTAACAACCGTACAGTTCACAAAAGAAAGAAGTCAAATAAGATGCAAAATTAAAATATATATTTCACTCTTCCAACACATACAATATACTAAGATAATAATATTTGAAGGTCGATATTGTTTTGTTACATATCACTCTCCTATAAATAAAATATACTTGGATCATAAATGTTATTGTTTTAAAAATAGACACAAGGCTTAAACAGCCACTGTTGACTTGGCTTCCGTGTCGGAAAATTTCGTAAGGACAGTTGGTTGCATTATGTCATGTTATAGTAAACTGGTATCTCTAATAGATAAGAATAGATACACATGCAACAAATTTTTATTACATTATCAAGGATTCCATAGCAAGTGCGTCATTGTTCACGTGAGTACTCTCGAGTATAAAGGTACCTGCTTCTCACACTAGCCTGCTATATGTACACTTCCATCTTTGTGAAGACGCTTCAATCGGTAGCTATGGCAACACCTCCAGTAGCATATGTCCAACCTACAGTTCTGACTGACAACAATGAGATGACGCTGTCACCCAAGTTAGCGGAGGACCGAGAGTCAAACCCAATCAGCTGGACAACCCCTCACACAGCAAACAGAAGACACCTAAAAATATTACTGTGTGTGTCATTGGCCGTTGTGGTATTAATAGTTGGTGTGGTATCAGTCCTGATGTGCTGCCATTGTGGGCGTTGTGTGAGTGTTAAAGACGCCGTGCCAAACGACTTGCAGTCACAAGGTTCAAAAGTAAGTGAAGATTTTTTCTGTCTACATTAACTATTAAATTGCGATAGGTTTTTTATCTGTGCAATCAAGCTGTAGAAACCAGTTCGTTTGAAAATAATGCAATAACTTGGTAAAGTCCATCCTCGATAATATCCAGGGTAAACGTTACGATGACTCTCCACTATACCCTGGATGCATCCACGGCTTGGCCCCATAATTATATTACCTCCCTGGTTCGGCATTCTCACAGTAGCCAATCAGCTAAGCCGCCGTTACATCCGAGCTTGCCAGTGTCAACAAAGATAGCGGTTTCAGTCGTGAAGGTTTGTTGGCAGTGCCACTCAGATTTTTGGGGAAATCATACAGACAAATTGACTGAAACTTTAAAAATATATATAAAAGAACTCCTTCTACCTCTTTCAGAGTACCTCGGCATCAATTGTGTTTTTATAAAGGGAACTATTTCATCTCCGGAACTATTTCAAAAGTACATAATCCCTATGACCTTCGCTGTATTTCAGAGATCCGCTCGCGTGTCAAAAACGGGTCCTTGTTTTGTGTTTGCTCAATTTCCAGCCCTCAAATATACTTTAAACACCCGTAACTCTGCAACCATCCATACGATTTTGACCAAACTTTGCCCGTGCTTGTATGCTAGTGGTGTCCATTGCACAATGCAATTAAAAGAACACAGCTCATAAAACAACTGAGGGACAAGTTTCTTGTACACATCACACTAAAAGTTCGAAATATACATGTATATACTTTGTTGATCATTTGTTTCTTCTGTGGTGCATGTTAAAAGTATCACCGTTTGGTGGTTAGATACATATCATTTCTAAAAAGAAATAAGAGGAAACTGAGTTAGCTAAATAAGCGCCATGAAAATCTACCAATAATCCCCATTCACCTGCTTTCCAATGCCCAAAAAGCAATGCACTTTGGGTGACAATTCGGTCCTTTGCGATTTGTGTGTTGAGCATTAAAACTAGAATCTCTGAACAGTCGTAATGCCAATTATGCAACTGGATGTTCAGTGATCACATAATTGTCTGATTTGTATTCAAGCCGACATCTAATAGCAGGAAAACAATTGAGCGGCGTTAGACGAAACTATTTCCGGTTTTAGCCACATTTTGTGAATGGCCCGGGCCACGGTAGGGCAGGACATGTTCACCACTAATTTTCAGTGATCCAATACATATATTATTTTCACATCTATTTCCCCTTTACACCAAATGGGACTTGTTTGTCAAGATAGTCAAGAATTGGTATTCATAGCACTGATGTTTTATATTTGACATAGGAAGCATCCTTGAAATAGCTGAAATGTTCTCATAGCTATATTTCAACGGACGAAGACGTGGTGTAAAATAAAAGAATTTCCTTGGTTATTTTTTCATATAATCTTGAAATAAGTCACTGGAAACGTTTGTTGTGTTGTTTGAGATAGACTTGTGTTTGCATTCATATAATGTGAACCTTGCACCTTTTTCAACTAAGGTCATGGAATTTTCCGTTTTCCTGACTGTTTAAGCAAAGGTTTCCTCTGTTTTGAGAGTCATTTTCCCAAATATTATTCTTAAATCCAAGAGAACACGCTTTGTAATGAAGTGATCTAAACTTTCAGTACTTCGAGTTCGATGATAATTCTATTTTAAAGTTATTGAAGGAAGCATTCCCTATTACTGGAAGTGACATGATCCATACAAGATTACCATTAACTATATTTAAGAATGGTATCCCTATTTGCTCTGAAACCAGAGTTTTATAATCGACTCTGAGATTTATGGACGTGAACAGTCTTTTTCGCTTCTATTCACAGACTTCCTGTATTTCCCAAACCAGAAATTTGACAGTGAAGAAGATCTAAATGGTTCATTGGGTTCTTAAAAACCTTTAAACCTCCAAAGTATTTTTAACATGCGAATGAGGTCAAAAGAAAAACAGACAGCTTAAAGTTTAATCTGAACGTAATTAGCTAAAATAGCATTGACTGTGATTTTCGGGTCCAGATGCCAGGGTGCATCATGCTCAAAAATGCCTGGGCACCGTTTCACAAAGCTGTCGTAGCGCTACGGCTGTCGTACGTCCTATACAGGGCCTAGATTTTCGAAGCTCTCTTAGCGCTAAGATAGTCGTAAGTTAATGTTAATGTATGGCCCTTACGACTATCTTAGCGCTAAGAGAGCTCAGAAAATTAAGGCCCTGAGCCTTGATTTTCGAAGCTCTCTTAGCGCTAAGATAGTCGTAAGTTAACGTTTATGTATGGCACTTACGACTATTTTAGCGCTAAGTGAACTACTGAAATCTAGGCCCTATAGACTTACGACAGTCGTAGCGCTACGATAGCATTGTGAAACGGGGCCCAGGTTACAAAGTATGTTATGTCTCCATTCGATGTCCTGGATCCGATTTACAGCACCAATCACAATACCATATTTACTCATTACGTTTAGCACCCGTACGCCTTTGCATTTCGCCGCAGCCGTTGCCCCGGCGTCACTTTGAGGTCAGTTGCCTGTTCCGTTAAATCCTGACCCGCGAAGGTCCGGGTTAGAATGAATCTTTAGTAACCCACGCTTGTCGTAAGAGGCGACTAACGGGATCAGGTGGTCAGGCTCGCTGACTTGGTTGACACGTCGACCCCTCTCAGGACATAACCGTATTGTACAGGATTGCCCCGAAACCAAGCTCGAAGTCAAACTGCGAATCAAACTGCTGCTAGCTTTTAGCTGATCAAAGCGGTGTTTAAGACCAACTCACTCTCTCACACACTTAATCGACCTATTAATCAGTCGACCAATCAATCAGCCAATCACACATTTATTTCATTTTATTTCTGTGTGTGTTGCAGATGCTTGGGAAGATGGCAGCAGTGAAGCTCCCACCAAAAGGTATCATCTTTACCTTATATATGGTCCCAGTTGTATTCATTGTTACATTTACATTTCCATTCGAGACCAGTTTCCATTTAACGGAAATCAGCGAGTGCTAACAAAGGATCCTATGAAGGAACGAGTCATGGATAATCGTATTCGTGACCCACTCGTGTTATTCCGGGACAAGCCGACGAAGGTTACGGAAAGGGGCCATTCCATTCGTAACTACTCGTAGACTCGTATCCCTCTCGTAAAGTAGACTCGTACCCCTCTCGTAGCCATTTTATTGAACGTGGCTCTGTCTGAGCGCAAAAGCGCAGGGGGAAAGAACTAGTCTAGTCGCGGAACTATTTTCAAGGGCATGTAACTCTAGTTTACTTGGAAAACACACATGGCATCCACGCCAAGGAAATTACCACAAAGGGTATGTTTAACATGCTTAAATACATTCCTACACCACAATGTTAATATATCCTGGTTATAGAAATCCAGGAAACCCAGGAGGACTATGCAATAATTAGAATATACTTAAAGTGTCTGGCAAAAAATTATGCAAGCCGAAATGAAAAATATTTCAAAGACCTATTTTAACCCAATTTATTCTCTCCATACGCGCATTCTGATTGGCTGGGGGAATATTTCTCCCGGACATGGCTACGAGAGGGTACGAGTCTACTTTCAGGTCACGGAAAGTGACGAGTAGTTACGAATGGGAAAGGGGCGAGTGATGACGTGATAATCGTGAACACTAGTATCCATTAGCCACCTCTCGTTATATTCCATACCCTCGCTTTTCGTGGAAAGAACCACATACGTCATTCCTTCTTGAAAGTTACGGAAAGAGGCGAGTTGTAACGAATGATTCCGAATAGTGCCGAATGGATACGACGTCACGTTTCATCAAAGCTATTATAGATGACTATACATGACAACGGGACAAAGGATGGATACTAAAACTTACCTACTGCAGTATAATAGAGTTGTTATGAATAACCTTTTGTCACCTGTCACCTTGTCAATCAATCACTTCAATTCACGTCGTTGATGACGCACAAGACACCTTGTCAACCACACGCCACACGTGACTGCCAGCATAATTATACCTTACATGTAATTTATAAATATATTTACACATAAGGATAGTGGTTAAAACGTTCGCCCTACACGCTGAAGACCTGGGTTCTATTCCCCACATGGGTACAATGTGTTAAACCTATTTCTGGTGTCCCCCGCCGTGATATTGCTGGACTATTGCTAAAAGCGGCGTAAAACCATACTCACTCACTCACTATACTGTCCTCTAAAACCAAACTTCTCATAGTCGTCCTTATCTTAAGACTTACATCTATGAGGGTGTAAGGTGGTCAGAGGTCAAAGTGTTCGCCCGTCACGCTAAATGCGAAGTGTGAAACCCATTTTAGGTGTCCCTCGACGTGATGTTGCTGGAATATTAATAAAAGCTTGATCGTACTTACTTCTATGCATGCAAATGTATGGTGCATGTACGTGTGTATATTTGTATATGCAGCAATGTGTATTTGCAGGTTTTCTGAGGCAACACCGACAAGTGGTGTCAGCGCACCTTGGAATCGATTTAAGGCAAACAGAAATGCTGAAAGGTAACCTTTTTGCACAAATGTTATCGGCAATGAGTGAGTGAGTTTAATTTTACGCCGCACTCAGCAATATTCCAGCTAAATGACGGCGGTCTGTAAATAATGTGATCTGGAAAAGACAATCCAGGTATCAACAGCATGAGCATCGATCTATGCAAATTGATACGATGACATGTGCCAACCAAGTCAGCGAGCCTGACTACCCGATCCCGTTAGTCGCCTCTTACGACAGGCATGGGTTACTGAAGATCAATGAAGAATACCGAGTCTTTTAGAGAAAAGACTACCCACTGCTTATCGTTCTAATGTTTGGAAGTATATACATGTACATAAGTTTGTGTGTCTATTAAACTTGATCCTTCAGTCTCTAGACCAATCACTCATTCATTCATATTTGAATGCGATATTCACTCACTCGCTCACTCACTCACTCACTCACCCATTCATTCATTCACTCAGCCATTCATTCATTCACTCACTCACCGAATCATTCATCCATCATCCACCCATTCATCTATCCATAATCCATCCCACTCACCAATTCATTCATTCATCCATCCATCCATCCATCCATCCACCCACCCACCCACCCACCCACTCACTCACTCACTCACTCACTCACCATTCCAGACGCAGTTATGGTATGGAAGACAAGCGACAGTGTGTACTACAAGCAGGGGCGACTGGACATTCTTCCTAACGGAACCATCCGAGTGGGTGATACGGGTACCTACCAGGTCACTGCCCACATCTGCTTGGATGGCTACAGGATGAATACAACACTGGCCAAATACAACCTGCACTTCGACATCCTCAGCGACCCCCCACAACATCTACTACCAGACTAGGTTGACGCTGTTCCGCAGAACATATTCGTCGGTAACTATGCATGTGAACCTGAGACTGAGGCAAAACGACGGCTTCTTTGTCCTGGCTACGTGGAACTATCTCTACAGATCGGACAGGTGCTCTACCTTAGACATCAGCATGGTCAGCTAACGACGACAGTGGATATTTATTCCATGTTTAGATTGACTGACTGAGTTTGGTTTTACGCCACTTTTAGCAATATTCCAGCAACATCACGGCGGGGGACACCAGAAATGGGCTTCACATTTTGTACCCATGTGGGGATTCGAACCCGGGTCTTCGGCGTGACGAGCCAACGCTTTAACCATTAGGCTACCCCACCGCCCCTCCATGTTTAGATGTGTTGGACGGTGTCAGCCGTTTCTACAGCTCGTTCCTGTCACGATGCTGAAATGTTTCTGATTTTTTTTATGAAACGTTAAGAGATGCGAACATCCGTGAACATCTAAATGGGGTGGATTGCAAACACCAGTAAACACCTATCTAGGATGGATGCGGACACCTGTGAACCCCTGTCTAGGATGGATGCGAACATCCGACCCGTGAACACCTATCTAGGATGGATGCGGACACATTTAACACCTATTTAGGATGTATTCGGACAAATGTGAACACGTATCTGGGATGGATCCGGACACCCTAACCAGGATGGATGAAGACAGCCGTGATGAACTAAGTGGAATGGATGTCAACACCCAGCTCGGGTGGATGCGGACACCCGTGAACACCCTACTAGGACAAATGTGAACACCCAGTAACCCCGAAGGTCACAATGCTTTAGAGAACGCTAAATATTATGTAGCCGATGTTTAATCGCGGCAAACGACGTTGTGGCTGTCGAAACATTTTCCAAACACCGGGCAAGCCCTGAAATATTGACTGAACGCTGCCTTGAAACGTCTATAAGATAGATCATGCATCGTTACTTCATGATCAGTGAGTTTGCACTGATGCTCCATGCAATTTATCTACCTCTATAAGTATCCCCCACATGGGCTGCTCCCGCTCTCTACCATTGTATGTATCTATTTTATGGAAACCTTTGACATATACACACGTTTAATTTATTTTTTTACATCTCGGTTACTGTTTTACATATGAAATATTTTCGTATTTTTGTATAAAAATGTACAAAATATGTTTAATAAACTATACACGATTTCGTCATTTTGACTTTCCACAGATTATTCATAATTGATCTCAGGTGGTATGCCAATGTCTGTTAAGTGTTTGTCAAAGGGAGATCACTCTCAGCAGCAAATTGCAATGGCATAAACGACTGAACAAAGGTGCCCCCGTTAAACATGCTGGAGGTCTTTGCTGAGTGCGTCTCATATGTTTAGGAGTTATATTCTTGCTGTGATAAACTCTCACATTAATAAGGACGGTGGGGTAGCCTTGTGTTTGAAGCGTTTTCACGTTTCGCCTATGGATCGGGTTCGATCCTCCCTTTGGTAAAATGTGTGAAGCACATTTCTGGTGTTCCCTGATGGTCCAGGGATATTGCAAAAATCGGCGTAAAAGTTCATTCACTCACTCTGACGAGAGGCGTCCTGACATCACTGAGCTGTCTTCAAACAACACTACCCGTGAAGATCCGGGATAGAAACGGTCTTCAGCAACCCATGCTTGTCGCACGCGGCGGCTAACGGGATCGGATGGTCAGGCTTGCATCCCAGGCCAATTGCATATGAAGCAGGGTGTGGAGTCATCCCACAGATGACATCCTTACTGACTGGGTTAACCTCTTTGATCATGTGGACAAGGTCCGTGGTTCGAATCCCAGCACGGGACTCGGAAATTTCATAGCCGCTTCACGTAGATCGATGCTCATGATGTTGATCACTGGATTGTCTGGTCAAGACTCGATTATTTACAGACCGCCACCATGTAGCTTGAATATTCCTGAGTGCGACGTTAAACAATAAACCAAATTGGAATCTTATTACTACACTACTACAGATGATTAGAACATATACAATGAAATCCATATCGTCGATCAAACTATATCTTTCCTCTCGGGACATCAGGAAAATAAGTTTGTTTATTGTTTAACGCCACACTCAACTATATTCCACCTATGTGGTCTGTAAACAGTCAGGTCTGAAGACCAGATATTCCAGTCAGCAAACCTGACCACCCCGTCTCGTTAAACGCTTCATACGAACCCGGATCTTTACAGGGCTCAGTCAAAGGCCAAGGTCAAGGTTGCATGATATATGAATGTTTGATTCTGAACACGATGAAACTGACAGTGCGCATGCGTGAGTCTTACACCTCCTACCAACACCGACCCTGGCTAAAACTGACAGTATGAGTGATGCACGCCCTGACCCCAACCCCTTCAACCGACACCACGTCTACCATACCCATCCACACAAGAACATGAAAACATACATCCTTTTCAAGAGTCGTAACTGCACACTATAATCGCTCTTTTGTGTGTTGCGACCAGTATTCAGAAAAGATTGACGCGGACATGTTATGCATGCAGCGTTCGAAACAATCGCCAGCCCGGAGGCCCGGCTCCGGTTGTTATTGTATCGGGCCGGCAGTTTCAATTATTTGCAGGCCCTTGTGGCCTTCAGTATATTATCTGTCATTTCTTTTTTCAACTGGAATCATTCCCATAATTGTTTTCTTTATTACCGTTCGGGAATCATCCATGATCCATCATGATCCACCATGCTGCGATCATAGGGGCTTGTAACGCTAAAAACTGCCTTCAACATATATGTACTGTCACTAACGGGGTCTGAGTACTATAAATAAGGATCCTTTATACCGTGCTAAGACCCCGTTAGTGACAGTACACAAGCCCCTGTGGGTTTCCCATTCTTGTGGTACAAGTCAAAACATTGATTACACAACAGTCTCGTTTCCTGTTGACTGGGTTCCGTCCTATTGCGCATCTTAGTAAAATAACAGTCCAGAATATTAAAACCAATTCATTTTACTGGATGCATAAATATTAATCAGCATTATTTGATACATCTAAGCACTTGTATATTGCAACACTACGCTTCTTTTAATCCTTGCAAACACGTCGTGCAACGTACTCTGTCGTACAGCGAGCACTGACAAACAGAAACCTGAAAATCGTGGAAATCTCAAAACGAGGCTCTGCCGCTAGAAACGTTTGGCGGTCCGGTACGGACTTGATATTACATTACATCAATCCCATTGTACGGAACAAAACTACACTGAATAAGCACAAAGAACACATAGTATGTGTAACCAGTGAGCCAGATGCATTGTGAATCATTTTACGACCTCATCAAACAGGGGCAGTCTGTGACGTCTTAGTTAAGGTCATGCTGCCTACATCTCGCCATAAAATATAGAAATACGATGTTATTAAAGTTTAAAATTAAAATTCATTTGTAAATGCCATTTTCTTATGAAACAAGGAATTGGACTTCAGTGTAACCATGGCATAGTGTTGCAATATACAAGTGCTTGTGATGTCTATTTTCACTTTCTCACGAGAAAATTCGGATCGGCTGAAAAGTAGGTCATTGTCTGAATAGGTTAATGAGACTCATGTTTCGGTTTGAAAGAGACTAACGGAATCAGGTGGTCCTGCTCGCTGTCTTTACACGTGGAATCGTATACAGATTGCGGGTCGATGCTCATGACCCGGGCTTGATTCCCCACATGGGTACAATGTGTGAAACCCATTCCTGGCGTCGTGATAGTGTTGGAATATTGCTAGAAAACGGCATAAAAATGAACTCACTCTGAGCGTCGTGATTGTATCAGAATTCATTAGTGCGTGTTTAAATGTGCACCAGTCTCTACAGAAAAGTGCGCATTATACACAAGAGAATACCGTGGATATAGGTCACTGGGGTCAGCGTGAACCCGGAAATACGTCGGCGTTTACGACGCATGGCGAAGCTTATTTTGTTCGTTGTTTAACGAACCACTCAGAAACATTCCAGCCTGATCACCCCATTCCGTTAGTCGTCTCTTTCAAGCAGCATAGGTTACTGAAGACCAATTCTAACCCAGATCTTCACGGCTTGGCGATGTCTCTTGCAATAACAGTATAAATATATCACACTGGTGATAACATTGAACTCACTAATAGCAATATTCAGGAAGCATCAGCAGGTCCCATCCTTTAGGAAATATACAATACAATACAATACAATACAATACAATACAATACAATACAATACAATACAATACAATACAATACAATACAATACAATACAATCGAACACCGTTGTGTCGAACACTGTTAACTCGATATCTCGGTTGCCTCGATATAACATCTCGGTCCCGGCAAAATCCTTCATAATTTATCATTATTCAAGCTCTTTTAACTCGATACGGATATCTCGATATTTCGGATGTCTCGATATAATTTCATAGTCCCAACAAGCAAACTTACCCTTTTAACTCGATATTTGCAAAGAAACTCGATATTCACCTACCTTTCTTGACCAAGTATCCCTCTGAACTGAGGTTGTTTCCACACGTGTACACACGATGCGGCGTGAATCAAAGGGATGCGGTAGTGTAAACTAATTAGGGCTAATTGAGTTGAAGGTGATGCTTGTTTGTTATTTAATTAGGATTAATCAAAAAGGAATTGATTAGGAAGTACCCACAGTTACGTCTAAACACTACTGATAACGGACTATAGTTTCGAATCAAAACATACTGAGAATCCAATGAGGGTTTTGTGTAATCACGTGACTAGCATCGGATTGAGTTGTTTCGATTGTTGAATAAATCCAACTTTTGTATCATTCAAGATGGTCACTGTAGCTTGAGTTGTATCGTGTGTGATTGCGATCCCTGTGATTAAAAATGTATATAGAAATGCATATACATAAAACCTACTTTTTGTTTTGTTTTCTTTCATAGTGATATATGATGATATGCCCTGGTCGGATGTCTCGAAGTTCGGATAACTCGATATTTTTGCTTGGTCCCATGAATATCGAGAGAACGGTGCTCGACTGTATAATATAATATAATATAATATTATACAATTATAGACTCTTGTAGAGGTCGATATCGGTTTTTATTGACCTGAGTAAAACAATATCGACCGAGCTTGAAAGAGAAACGGGTTTTAACATAAACTTTTAATGCTCACACTGTGCCATCTATCCGAGTGATCTGATTGGCTGAAAAGCGGGGGAAGCCCCTTCGTACGGAATTCCTGGTCTATTTTTAGTAACCCAGGTCAATATCGTAATTTATCAGAAAA